ACAAAATTTTGACTAAAAATTAAAATGATTTCAAAAAATGAACGGAAGTACAAATATAAGGGGGCGGGGCTAATTATTTAGAAATACCAACTTTCAAAATGTCAACCGACAAAATGGTAAATTTATAAATTGGAGGAAATTCAAAATTTAAAAATTGGCGGGAATTTCGAATTTAAAAATTAAAATAGGTTATAATTAAAAATTCAAAATTTAAAAAATTAAAAATATATATTAATTAATTAATTAATTAGAAAATGGGGAAGAAAAAATTTTTACAAAATTTTAACAAAAAAATAAAATGATTTCAAAAAAAAGAGTGGAAGTAGAAATTTAAGGGGATTTCGAAATGCCAAATTTAAAAAATTGGGAGAAGGGGGTGGCATTTTAAAATTTTCAAAAAATTTCTTAGTGTTAGTAGATAATAAAAATAAATTATAAAATTTAAAAAATAATTAAATTAAATATGGGAGAAATAAATTGACAAAATTTTAGAAAAAAATTAAAATGATTTTAAAAAATGATCGGAAGTACGAATGTAAGGGCGGAGCTAATTATTTCGAAATACAAACTTTCAAAATGTCAAGCGACAAAATGCCACACCGACAAAATGTCATGTGACAAAATGCCGATGTCCAAAAGGTCAACCGATAAAATGGTAACTTTAAAAATGTCAAGCGACAAAATGCCACATCGACAAAATGACAATTGACAAAATGCCAACTTTCAAAATGTCATGTAACAAAATGCCTACTTTAAAGATGTCAAGTGAAAAATGATAAACGACAAAATGTCATGTGACAAAATGCCAACTTTCATTTGTCACGTGACAAAATGCCAGCTTTAAATTGTTTATTTAAAAAACAAACGGGAGGCAAATATTTCCATTAATAAAACATATCTATTATTAATCTATAATAAATAAATTATTAATAAAAATTTAAACACCATTAATTAATTTTGTTATTTTTTACAATATATCACAAATTTATCTAACATTCGATTTCTTTAAATAAATTTTCAACTTAATTTCATTAATATTGGATAATATTTTCTCTATATAAAACATCATTTATTCTAATCTTAATATGGTTCATATCCCCTTTGATCCGCGAACTATCGGATACGATGACCACCATACAAATATTAGTCAAATAGGAGAAGGAACTGATGAAAATTATTACTATTTTCGTGAACTCAATCCCTATCAACGTGGATACGGGAGACAAGCGGGTGGCGGAGTCGGAGATGTACTTAGAAATTTTTGGCGTTTCCTTTTGCCATATGCAAAACGTGCGGGGACAGCTGTTGCAAAAGAAGCATTGGATACTGGAGGAAGAATTTTGGAAAGTGTCGGGAATCCAGAATATGGCAATGATGAATTTAAACCAAATTTCAAGCAAGCAGTAATAAGTGAGGGGAAACGCGGATTGGACAGATTGCTTGAGAAAGGTGGAATGCAAAAGCAGTTTGGAACCGGATTGAAAGCGAGGGATAGTATAAAAGGACACAAAAGAAATCGTAAACCTCATTCAACATTTTCAAAGGAAAAAAGTCATCAAATCATTATTGGTAAACATCCCTCCCTTATACCAAAAAAGAAACGTCAAAAAATAGATACATTCGGTCTTTATTAAATAAAAATGTCTACTCATCAGAAAATTGATCGTGATTCTGGCAACGCAATAACAAATGCTTTATCATTTTTCGAAACTCCTCATACGAATGTTAGTATTAGCAACTCATCATTTATCGAATTACTCACACTTAACCCTGTAAATATTACGCCTTTTCATTTCAAAATTCATGCGACTACAAATTATATTGATTTGGCCAAAACTTATGTTTTTACAGAACTTAGAATTAAAAAGGAAGATAAAGATGGGAAACTTGTTGATATAGGAAAAGATGATAATGTGGCGCCCGTGCAGCTTATAGGCCACACAATTTGGAAAAATTGTCGCATGCATATTAATGGGACACAGGTTTTTGAAGGGAATTCCCTCATGGCTTACAAAAGTATTTTTGACTATGAACTAACTTACCCACAAAGTGTAAAGAACTCTTATCTTTCCGTAGCGGGATATTATGATGATGGGGCTACACAAACATATCCAGGAGTTGATGCAAATGGATATGGAATCAAATCAAGGAAAAAATTATTCTTAGATGAAGATGGAAACCCGCGCAGTGCACAATTTATGGCCAAATTAGACGTTGATATTTGTAATCAACCAAGATATTTAGTGAATCAATGCGAAGTTGATATTGAATTACTCCCACACGAATCAAGTTTCTTACTCAGTGCTCCCTGGGACACTGCACCAAAATACCATTTAGAAATTTTGGCTTGCAAGCTATATGTAAAGAAGATTGAGCTAATGGATAGTTTAGCATTCGATATTGCAAAAAAACTTGAAATAAAACCTGCACGATATCCGTTAAGGAAAACATCTTTAAAATCCCTATTTATTAGTGAAAACCGAACAGAATTTAATGCTAATTTATGGATGGATCAGGTGCCACGAAGAATTATACTGGGAATGGTTGGTAATAAAGATTTCGTTGGACGACAAAAGACAACACCATTTTATTTTCAACATTTTAATTTGAGAGATATTTCTATAACTGCTGGGGGAGTTACTTATCCATCAGCTCCTTATTCCCTTGATTTTCCAAAAGGAAACTACGCTAGAATTTATCATGACATGCAAGAAGCAATAGGCTACGCGGGATCGTTAGAAAGTAACGGCATATCTATGTTTCGGTATGCCTATGCAGGATATTGCTTTTTCGTATTTAACCTCACAAATAGTCAGGAAGATAATGGACCGGAGATGTTTGATTTGATAAAAAATGGTACAACTAGTATAAGAATGACATTTAATGAGGCGGTTCCAAGTGGTGGGATTGTACTAGTGGCTATGGGTGAAATTGATTCTCTGCTTATGTTAGATAGAAACAGAACTATTTTCACAGATATTTCAGTATAAATACCCTGATTTTTCCTCAAATTTTCATTTCCCATTTCATTTAAAATGTTCCATATTACTATTAAAATTGAATTTAGCATTGTTTTAATTATTTTATTTTTCTTTCTGTATAAATTATCACTACAGTATTCAATGACTAATGAAAATGATAATCTAGAATATAGAGAAAAATTACGAGAATATATAGGTTATTACGCCAATACAATACCCCCATCAATTGAAATTAATAATAATAATACAACAAGATTCTCAATATTACCTGAAAGATTTAAAAATAATATCAGTCTAGCTTCTACTACCTTTACCCAGATAAAAATATTAAAATTTTGGATTTATGGTCAATGGAACATGTGAATAATGTACAAATTCCTGCCCTTTGCAAGGATTTTCCTTCATCAGAAACATCAATACCACAGGCTATTTACTGCATTTCATTGATTGTACTCTGGCTTTTATTATTAGCTACAGCTTTAGCCTATCAACTTAGAAAATTTCAAAAGATTAAAACCATCAACAAAGACATTGAACTTGGAGAGATACAAAGAGAGATATAAACATTTTCTTCCTTTACAGAAATGGACACTTTACAAATAGAGAAAATTTTATCACAAAATAGAATTACAAGAAGACATTTTATTGGATGCTTTGCCGCAGATAAAATCCCACAAGATTTTCAAAAATATCCTTGCTCAATGGTCGTCAACTTTGAAAAATCTTCTCAGAAAGGATCACATTGGATTGCATTTTTCATAATAAACCCCGAGAATATATTAATCTTTGATTCATTATTACTCCCCAACCCACCAATTTCAATTAAAAATTTTATTTCCAAATTTCCAAACCGTGTAATTAATAATGTACCCGTTCAAAACCCTCTTTTACCCACTTGTGGCCAACATTGTATCACTTTTATTTATTTTATTTCGTCTGGATACTCTTATAAAAAATTCCTAACACTATTATTAAATTATTCAAATCCAGATGAATTCGTTTTTTCTTTTATTATTAAAATGATAAAAAATATATAAAGTATTACAATTTTCAAAAATAATTTTCATTTAATTAAAATCTTAACATTCTGTTAAACATTAGTGTAATAATTACAGTTCCGTGATCAAACTTTACAAGATTTCCGTTCATCCATCTTAGTTCTATCTCAATCTCATTAATCTCTCTGGGTAACACTGGTATGAACATTGGTTGATCATACACTCTTTCTACTACACCTCCAGACCTATTCTCAACGGCCACAATTCTTAGTAAAGAACTGACCGAATTTCCCATTATTACATTACTCGTTAATCCTTTTGAATAAACAGCAAAGCTTGTGAATCCTCCTTTGAGGTCAATGCCATATTTTCCAATTTGACCGTTTACCAAACGACCCATGGGAAAGCCGAGAACATAACATAATTGTGAAGATATAATTATATTGCTAATCCCAGGATCATTAAAAATTACTCTAAAGCGATCAATACTGTCCAAATATTCAATGTCAGAATGTAAATCTTTTGCCTGAGATTCCTTTTCTTCAATCAAAGTAACTGTCTTCTCATTTATCAGATTATCTGCATTTTGTTCATCCTTTTGCTCCTCAAATTTTTTTTTGTTGGTATAATTTCTTCTGAGGAATACAAATCTAAAACAGGACTTCCACTGCTTTTCTCCTCCTCATTTTCCTCTTCGTAATCTTCCTCCTCAGCTACTATATCTTCCTCTTCATCTATTGGTTGCTCAAGAGATATAGGATCTCCATGTTTGTCTATTTTTCTGGCATGTTTTAATTTCTCCTTGCTTTCTTTCAGTTCTCTATCTTTTCTTTCATTTTCCTCTGACTCTCTGGTCTTGTCCTGCTCATACCCATGTCTATCCTTGACAACTTCAACCATTTCATCTGTAATTACCGGATTAGGAATTGGTACTGGTTTGCCTTTATCATCTACTTTCAGGGCATCTTCTAAATATTCTGGGTGTGTTTTCTCTTCAATTTTTTGCATCTCCTTAATTTCATTTTTAGTTGGTGGAATTGGCAGCTCAAAATTTTTCCATTTCTTGTATGCCTCTTGATGTATAGCTGTAAATGTTTCTTCTGTATGAAGCCAGTTTATTTAAGTTGTCAATCTCCTTCCCTAATTTATTCTTTTCTTCCTCATCTTCTTCATGTGAATGCAAATCACGTTTTTCTCGAATTTGGCTGTGTAATTCTTGTAGATCACCTAAATTTTTCTTAAGAGCTGTCCAATGATCCACTGGGTGGTCTTCAAAAAATTTTTGTACAAATTCTGAGTGTGTATTTGAATTTTGTTGATGAAATTCATCTCTAGTAATATTCAAATCTTTTTCAATAATAACAGATTCTATTGCTTCCAATTTTTTCTCATACGTTTTATTGAATTAATAAACCTCTGAATCTCATCACCAGAACGAGCATTCTTACCATCCTTTTCCCTACTCTCTTTAATCTTCTCTTCTAGTTCAATGTATCTTACAATTATATTTATTTCCATCTTTATTACTTGTTCGTGATAATCATTTGGATGTTGTTCCAGAAACTGATTTGCTGATTTTCTTCGTTAGTCGATCATCTCGCCTGTCTCTCTTATTAGCTTCCTCTGTTAAAAGACGAATTTCCTTCTTTTTACCTTCTGAAAGGGAATGTAGGTGATCAAGTTCTTGCTGTAATTCTTCCTTCTTTGTTTCATCCTCCTCATTAAGAACCTCTTTTGTTTTTTCCTCTACTTTAACTTTATGTTGTTCTAACTCTTGCTCGTGATCGCGTATAGCATCCCAGTAATTGTGAGGATACTGATTAAAAAATTCCTTTATCCACAACGGTACAGTATCCACTTCACTTGCTTCCCTTCTTCGTCTTTTCTTAACTGCGTCAACTACTAAATTAATTTCTGGATCAATAATAATTTCATCCTCAAATGTCTCGATTGAAACATCACGTCTTTTCCTAGACTTTTCCTTGTTGGATAATACAAGTTTTAGAAAGAAGCTGAGACCGTTCGGTGTTAGTTGTGTTGTTTTAGGAATTCCAATTCTATGTGGTTTCTTGTTTTTGTAATTAATTTCGATCCATTGTTTAACGTCTGTGCCAATAGTTGCAGCCCATGACTGGGGGTATTGGATACTGTAGAGCCCACATACCCAGTTTCCACCTTTAAATTCTATTGGTTTCGGAAGGTGTACGCGATATTTATTGGGTTTATTATCTGGGTAATCACTAACATTACTTGGAAGAACAACAAAGAATGTATTAGCCATTATTTATTTCAATAAAAATAATAATAATAAATTGAACAATTAAGGTGAAAAATAATTAAAAATGATTTATGGGGAATGGAAAATTGGACTTTTATACAAATTGATTTTCGTCTATCCACTGGGGTTTGGGATAATCATAAAATTTAACAAAAAATTCTTTTCCTCCATCTTTTTTCTTTCTACTCTTAATAATCTTCTCAATTCTGTAGCTAGTATTCTCATCCTTCCTCACTCGGGTTAATTCCTCGGGGTAGAAATATCCTTTAAATACTTCTCCATTATCGTCACGGACACGATATCTGTTGGGATTAGCCTTCTTTTTAACAAGATCTATCTGAAGAATTTCATCGCTATAATTTGGAAGATAACCCTTTGAAAAAATATTTTTACTTCTGCTCATACGCACATGATCATTCTCCTTAAAACGTGGTTTTTTTCTAGCTTTATTCTTGCCAATAGGACCAAATACCATTTCTCTTATTTTCTTTGAATTGTTAAAGCTTACATCAACTGGTCTTAATCCACATAAAACTCTACACTTTGAATGATTTATAGCGTCTACAATCTTTGGTAATGCTTCTGTCCATTTTAAAGTATGTTTCTCACTCATAAATCTGTACAATCGCTGTTTAATGTTCCGAATACATCTTTCAGCTAGAGATGCTTTAACTTCTGAGAAAGTTGCTGTGTATTTTTCAATATCTTTTTTCCTAAAGAAATCCATAATTTCTTTGCTGCAGAATTCTGTTCCCTTATCGCTAAAAATTCGGTGGGGATACATTTCCATTCTTGACAAAATTTTTTCAAATGCATCAATCATATCATTTGATTTTTTAGTGCAAACAGGTTCAGCGAAAACTCTTTTACTTAAAACATCTATTGCAACAAGTGCATATTTCTTTCCATTATTTTGCTGTGATAATTTTTGAAAATCGGCCAAGTCGCACTGAACATCTGTCATATACCCAGATGGATATGTTATTGATCTTTTGAAGTGCACACGCCTAGGACGGTGAATGGTATAAGTTCTATTTCCTTCCAAATATTCCTCAACATCCTTCTTTTTAATACTTGCATCTTTTTTTCGAGCCTCTATCCATAGTTGGTTTACACCAGCAAATCCTGCTGGATTCGCTGGATCATTGTAAAGTTTATCTAAAATCATTTCCATTCTGCTGGAGGTCTCCATTTTGATTCAGCTATTTCTTTGTATTCAGGTATTTTTCTTTTTTGTTTTGAATAAGTTCTTTTCGGAGTACAGCTTTCTCGTGCCTTCTCTATCAACGGCCAAATTTTATGATCACTTTTTAATTTATTTTCTAAAACGGATGTTCCTGGAGGTGTCAATTCTCCCCATCTCAATTTCCCACTGATTCCTGTTCGGAGTATGCACTCTATGGATTTCTGTGCATTGCTTCCCTGTATTTCTTTACCTCCTTTCCTACTTAGAATCTTTCCATCTGTGCTCACATCATATTTATCAAGATTCTCTTGCTTCATACTTTCAAATATTTCTTTTGTTTTTTCTTTTATTTCTGTCTTTTTTGGTTCAGTTTTCCTTCTGGAATCCGGAGATTCCTCGTCGGCCGTATGCATACTAAGCTCATTATCATTTAAATCGACTCCCTCTTCTAAATCTGGAAATTTTGGTGTGGCTTTATTTTGTTTAAGTACTTGTTGATTATTTTCATTGGTGTCGGTTTGGAGTAGGGGAAGTAATTTTTTAATTTGCTCCAGTGCTGGATCATCCATTTGTCTTATTGAAACATTCATTGGTCTCTCATTTTGGTCCTTTAACATGTGTAGATAACGTCTCAATTCCTGGTTATAATTTATATTCTTTAATTCAGTGTTGGCATTTTGTCTTTTAATAGTTTCCAAATTTTCTCGTGTAAAATCCAAATTAATATTTCCAGTTTCTGGTGTGGGTTGAGTAAGTAATCCGCGATATATATCTTCAGGAACTAATATAAATTTATTTGCCATTTTTATTAATTGCTTGTCAATGTTTTTGTTAATTCAATAATGATTGGTGTTAGAAGGGCAGGAAACAATCCTATTGGTAAACCGCTTCCTTTTTGTATTACTGTACGTCGGGCTCCTCTTTCTGTTTTTAATCTACTCACGCGGCGAACAAAATCAGCGAATGGTAGAAGACGAGATTTTTGTCTTTTAGTTAGTTTAAATTGACTGCGTATAATATTGAAACAAATTTCAGTAAGAGAGAGTAATTGGTCGGTTGAAGCTTTTTTAAAAGGCGTCTTCTTTTAGTTAGTGAGCGTGTTTTTGCGAGCTGTTTGAGGAAATGTAGGTTGTCCTTGACAAGTTGACTAATATTCGCTGACATGGTTTTAATTAGAGGAATTTTTGGGTAAAAATATAATAGGTAATAGATTGTATGAGTCTTCTGATTCTTTGTCCTTAAATATATTTGTTCTTAGTCTAAGTGTTGGGTCTGATGAGGGGTGTAAATCGACAAAGAGATAAGAATAATTACTGCTGCTTGTAGCTTGGCGATATGCGTCTAGAAAATAATTTAATCTTCCTGGGAATAATTGTACTCCTAGATTTCGGATGGCCAATGCACTATTTGGTGCACGAGTTAATACAATATACATAGAATTTTGACGTGCGACTTTGAGTTTTTTCTCGAAGAGATTTTGAGTGATGAAAATTATGCCAAAATTAAGATGATGAGATTTCTTTGTGAAAAGTTCCGATAAATATTTTTCGTCAATTGAGTACATTAGGTCATCAAGAATGACTAGTGCAGGTTGTTCTTGTTTCTTAATAAGATCCTCAGGTGGAACTCCGGAATAGACTGAGGCTCCGGCTCGCTGTAGTTCTGGAACAAGAGTATTATATTCGCCATAGCAGTAAAGAATAGATTTTGGAATAGGTTCAATAAGTTGATCAGAATTGGAAATTAATTTTCTGACAAGCGTACTTTTCCCAGTTGAACTTGGGCCGCTAATAATACAGCCAAATGGAAGTTTTAATTTCAAGTCTTTATTAGAAAATAAAGGATAATTCATTTTACAAATATTTATCGAAAATTAAAAATATAAAATATGATTAATGGTTATTGGGGGATTAATAGTTGGAGGATTAATAAGATTTAATATTATTTGTAAGGTTAACTTTTTCTTCTAATTTATTTTCTTTATCGTCTTCTTTTATATTTTATTTTGTTTCTTCTATCTTTACTTGAGCTTTGTTTTGTGAAAACTTTGACAAAAATTCCTTGATAGTCATCTGTTCATCTCCTTAAATAATGTCTTTTTCATTCCACTTTGGTTCCTTGTGAATGATATTGAAATTCTTCCCTTTTGATTTAACTCGAAAGATACATTGTTGAGGAATTTCGTAGATATGGTCAAAAATTACTACTTTTTCTGATTTTAGGCGGTTGCAATATAAGGTTACATCCTTCGGAGTAATAACAAAATCAATGTCAACATTTTCCCCCTTGCAGCTTTTACATTTTCCTGCCAAGTCAAACTCCACAAACCGTGCTGTTATGAGCCGTGGTGATGAAATTGTCACACCAGACGAAGACACACTAAATAAAACCTCAGGGAGCACTTTTTCTAAGAGCTGGCAATTATTTTCAATTACTGACATTTAAATATTTTTATAAATGAATTCAAATTTTAAATGGAAGTTTGATAATAGGAGAAAATGGGCGTGGCTTCCGAAAAAGAGAATTTGAATTAATAAATTGAAAATTCCTATGTTAACTAATAATAAGGTCAAGTCTAAAATTTTTATTTCAAATTAAATTATTACAATTATTGAAATTAATATTAAAAATAACAAGTTTATGTAAAAAAATATTTTAGAAAATTTTATTCAATTTTTCATGTTCTGTACCTTCTTCTCATCCCACTCTGAAACAAAATCTTTGAGCTGCATATTTAATTTCGCAATGCCTTCACAAATTTCAAAACAAATTCCAATATTTCCATTCTCCTTCTGAGTAAATTTATTCTTATCATAATAAAGCGCATTAGCACATTTTTTGCAAATTCTTATTTCAATCCTTGGAGTATCTTTCATGCGCATAATTTTCCAAAGTATACGTGGATTTATTTCATGTTTTTTCTCAATCTTTCCATTGTTTATTTTTGAAGTAGCAGATTTTGATTTATTGCTTTTTTCCTTATCCTTTTCTAGCTCTACTTCAATTATCTCTTCTTCCTCCTCATTTTTTGGCTCATTAATTAATTCAAGTTTTGGGATTTTTTCATTTTTAAATCCGCTCATTTTTATTTTTCAAATTTTATTTATATGAATGAATGAAGAAATGAATGAAAATTGGGAAATCTATTGCCTTATATACTCACACAAGTCCCGCCTACTACAATATTTCGTAATAGGTACCAATTTTCAAGGCCAAATTCTGAGTATAAAAAGGCAAAATTTTCTTAAATCTTGTCATTTTAAAATTCATTTGAACATTTTAGAAAACAGTCTAAATTAATCGATAAAAATGAATTCGATTTTGGAAGATATTTCAAAAAAATTGAACTGTCCAGTTTATCTGGTGAGATATAGACTAATGCATCAGGAAAATGCAGATTTGATTTCAAAATTTATAAATGAAAGCGGAAAGATAGAGACAACTTATAAAGATAGGAATGGATTGAGATATACAATTCGATGTGACGGAATTACAACAGCAGGGGCTCATTTACTCAAAGCCTTCGGTCACTTAGCTTACCCATTCAACATATCGGTTGCGGCATACTTCTATGCGCATCACAAAATAAAACTCCAATATCCGTTTCATCAATGTGTTATCGCAAGAACGTTTACAAAGGATGGAATTTGTGAGATATTTCCCGCTTGAGCTTGTATGTTTTGCTCCTACATCGCCCCCATCACCCCCATCAACATTAAGCGGTTTAACATTTACAGCACGGCGCACACAAGCAAGTTCGTCTACATCAACAACCAGCCTCAATAGTAATCCATTAGCGATAGAAGACCTACCACCAACACCCACTAATGCAAAATCTAGACCAGGAATATTGTGGATTCAAATAGAAGGTAAACCCAATCAATGGGAAAAACGCAATATTTTGATAGACTGATTCAAAAATTTAATTTTAATTAGATATTAACAAATTATAATTTACATAGGAAAATGATTATTAATATAAAAATAAAAAATTATTTTTTTAAATGATTTACAAATTTTTGAAAAAATCTATAATATTTGAAATAGGAGGTTCATATAAAAATCGCCATCTTGAATACATTATGTAATCTGTTCTATTATGTTTTCCAAATTTGAACTTTTTGTCCCAAAGGTCCCAACGTAGAATCCAACGCCCCATATTTTTTATTTCAATTTGTCTTGCTGTATCACTCTTCTTCAAATGACAGATATCTTTTACAAACCATTTCTTAATTAATCTTTCTTCTCCATTAGTTTTATTCAAAGAACTATTGTTTAATTTATCGGCTCGTCGAAATTCACCTGAATTATTAAGATCTCTGTTAGGAAATGTTGGTGGTGGTGTTCTCCGCCATATTGGTATATCCATTAAATTATTTTCATCTCTGTTAGGAAATATTGGTGGAGGTGTTCTTCGCCATATTGGTACTTCCATTAAATTATGTTCTTCCCTGTTAGGAAATATTGGTGGTGGTGGTGTTCTCCGCCATATTGGTAATGGTGTCCTCCGAAATATTGTTGTCACTAATTCTCTCTTCCTGGTTTTATCGTCCGAACTCTCTACTACTAAGGACAGAATAGATATGAATATTATTGAAAACATTAATATTTTAAAAATATTTGGTGTAATAAAGAAGGTATTAAAGATTTTTTCAAATGCTTAGTTTTTAATTAAATTTTTTAATTTAAATAGCGATATTTTTTAATATTGAGTAATGGATGTATATTTAAAATAGGTTTTATTATGAATTAATTTTATTTTTAGATGTGGTACAACCTGACCCTATTTTTTGCCTATTTTTACTGAAAATATGTGATATTCTCTTAAAATATACAAATTTTTATTATTCAATTAAAAAACAAATACATCTGTGTATATTTAATAAGTAAAAATATGAAATCATTTTTGTCCAAAATGTACAATTTTGAGGTTATTGGATATAATTCCTTTTTGTATTATCGGTCTAAATATTTTTCTCATCTTAGTTGAATAAACCGTACCATCCTTCACGTTCCGCCGTATAAAGTTTGGATTTTCAATCAGAATTTTTCCTCTATCCAGGTCATCATCTTCCTCATTATCGTTTCCTCCATTTGCATAATGAAGTACACTTTCTTTGAAACTGTCAAAATGTAAGATTTTGCAAACATCAGCCGTTAATGTTATGCCACGTACTTTCAGAACACTACTAACTTTGGCATTCTTTTTGCTTTCCATTCTAAGTGCGTAAGCCTTGCACGCACCTCCAACATATTCTTTTATTTCAGATCCTGCATATTCTTTTGCTAAGTCTCCTAGATGAGGGCCTGTTTGAAGAGGACATTCCATATACTTTGGATGGGAAAATAGTATACTATCTGTGTCTCCATAGAGAAGATTGCATCCTGGTGATTCAGCTACCTTTTGCATTGCTTTCAATAGTTTTATTCTTGCAGCTGATGTTGTCCATAATGATATAACCATATTTGATGTATCATGTTCAATGATAAATTCTTCTTTTTGTTTGTAAGTCAGTAAAATTGTTTCTTCAGTTAAATTATCGATAGATTGTATTTCAATTGAGTTGTTCTTGTCATATTCGATAAGTTCAGTTGGCGAATCAATGATACACTTCTTGATTGACCATTCCTAAGACTGAATCTTCCCCATAGAGAATTGAGCATTAGTTTTGATATGTAGCGCATAGCCTGATCTGGTACCATTTTTTCTCTATCAAGCTCAATTCCAAATTTTTCTTTGCATTCATTTATAAATCTTTCCTCATTTTCATTTCCTTCTATTCCTTCAGGGAACCCACTAGCATGGATCTTCATTGCCATAAACTCGGCCACATAATTTTTAAATAAATTTTCATCCCATTTTTCATAATGTAGAGCTCTATAAAATCTTGTAACTGTATATCCAGCTTTTAATGCCTCTTCCAATTCAATCGATGTACATGTTGAAACCCAACCTCTTTCATCATTATTGTGTATACATCGGTAGTCTTTGATGTTTGGGTAAGTGAGTGAGCATTTTCTACATAGTGGGAATAGAAGTCTTTCATCAAACTTGACTGGAATTACAGGGATATCCAACTTTGATGGCGGTATTAAAAATACTTTCAAAATTCCTTTGAATGGGATTTGGTCTCCCCTGTTCCAATTAACTTTTTGTTCAGCTAAAGGCACAACATGTATTTTCGGATGCCCAACAGGAAATAATGTAGTAGCAATTGTTGATGGATAAAGCGAATTAAAATCTAAATAAGCAATTTTATGTTGTTCTGCGTCAGCGTCAAAGTACATTTGCAACGGGCCTGTTCTTCCACCGAAATAACAGTCTCTAATATTTATTGGCCCTTTGTTATGATAATTTGCAAATGATTTTCGCATATTTTTGCTGCGACGTAGCATTTGACGAATTTCACATTCCCATATTATATCAACATTTTTGATATTTCTTCGTATAATTGCCAAACGATTTTCATCATCTTCTTTAGTCTTAGCCATTGTTTTCCCATTTGGTAGAATTTTATACAAATCATTTCCAAAGCATTTTTCACATGCATGCCAAGCACATCCATTTACCTCAATTGCCCTATCTTCCTCCTTTATATATCCATCTACCTTGTACCTTCCAGCTACCACATGTTCTCCACCTTCTGAATGGGCACTTTGGATTTGAACTCCTCGTGTCTCTTCGTACCATTGTAAATATTTTAGTGCAAGTTCACTTTGATTATCACAGTTTTCATAACCTTTTTCAGGAACAATTGCCAAGTGTTCAGGTTGCAAATGATTAAGTCGAAAATGCTTCATACAAGCTGATGCTATCGTCATTGCATCTCTTAAAATATCAATCCCTTCTTGAGATGATCCAGGTTTTGTATTTTTCTTTTTGCTAATTTCCATAAATTTTTTTCTGAAAGCAATTAGTGCTTCTGTAAGAATCTGTACATCGTTTGTGCAATATTCGGCCAATGCTTCGTCCAAACAAAATTGGTGATTTTTTTCTTCTTCATACCATTTATCAAATTCATTTTGCTTTTGAGGGGGCATTCCTCCATATAAATAATCAGATTTTAAGGGTAATTGTTGAAGTGTTCGCCCATAATTTTCGGGGATGTTTGCCAGATGAGGAAAAAATTGTTTTTCAGTTACTTGCAGTCCAAATGCTCCAATCAACTTCCCCAAAGCCACTGGACAAAGATTATACGAGTCACGATATATAACTTCATTGCATTTATTGTTGCGCGGAATTTTTAATTCATAAAGCTTATTACCACGACGAATCATCGATGGCACAACTCCTTTCAGATAAATTTCTCTGAATACCATAACCATATCATAACGCCCTCCATTGTGTGAAAAAGCCATTGTTGAATATTGAGGGTTGAGTTCAAATAGAATCCATTGAATAAAGTCTTTGAGCGGATTTTGTGTGACAGTTTGTTTATCGACTTTTGTTCGAGTGAATGGCTGATGTGAAAATGTTACTGATCGATTGTTTCCACAGATTGAGCAACTATTTCCATTTTGGTTCAGAGGTGAACGCCATATTTTTCCATCTTCCATACATTTTGTACAGGTTACTGTTGCGGCAATGAAATTTACTTTGTGGAGCCGTCTTTCTTCATTTACATTATTTATCTTCTCATTTTGTGTTGCTTCAAAATCGAATGTTACTAGTCGGTACGGAAGTGATTTTTTAGGTTCCAAAGGACGGATGTAACAACCTCTTTTAATGCTATGATATTGACGGCAAATTTGACACCATTTTTGCCCGCATACGTGCTGCTTTTGCTCCTCTCTTTTATAATTTTTTATTGACCATATTACACCACACTTTTCACATATTTTTGTTTGCCGACAATTGCTGCTTTTCTTATGATGCTCAAAGCAATCTTCATTTAAATATTTTTTCCCACAGTCATCACATTTTTTGAAAAAGTTTGATGTTGCCATACAAGGACGTTCACTTCCAATACGTCCACAAAATCTGCAGAGAGATTTACATTTCACATCATGTTCCTTTGATTTTCTATATTTCTTTTCACAAGTAAAACAATATTTGTGTTTGAATCCAAACATTCCTCCAACATTTCTTATTCCATCAAAATGATTATTCGAGTGAAAAATTGCGATTGGTACATTGAAATTATCATTTCCATATTTAAATAAAGGTTTCTCATTGGTGCTTCCAAAAACAAATACTTTAAATTTATATCCTGCGTCTTTATATTGATTGTTCCAAAAATTCACAACAATTGGTACGTAAACCACCGCATCATATTCAGGAAGGTCATTTGGAATTTTTGTAGCTTTTAGAAGATCAAAAACATCTTTCATTTGGCGATGACTGTATTGCATATATCTATTAAATTTTCTTCTATCTCCCAACTCTTTAATAACATATTTTCTTGTAATTTCCAAAGCATAGAATAAGCATAAGTTGTTTGGATTAGCTATTTTAATAAATAATTCATCTCTTAGTTGAAAATGGTCTATTTCCTTTTTTTGTGGTGCACGACCTTTAATCGATTGATTTGTCTGAAGTGATGAAACACCCATTGTCTGGACTTTTATTGTGAAGGGGTTCCCATAAAGCGACCCCCTTTCTATCTTAGATTGCGAAACAAGTTGAAATCTTGTTAATATGTTGTCTATTGTATCTTTTTCTAGTTTTCTAATTGGTATCCATATATCGTTATCCAGTAAATGTGAAGAAATTAATGCTCCTAATCGATCAGGATTAATTGATTGATTCTTTGATGCTTCGACGGTTTGATCCATGCACTCTTGAATTATTTTTCTCAATAATTCCTCTGGATTTTCCGGTAGTTTTTCAATAATAAACTTTCCTGTAGTTCCCATCATTTTAAATTTACTATTAAATTGAGTTTCATAATCGATTTGTCTGTAATAATTTTTTAGGGTTGTTCCAGCACCGCTTTGTGTAGTATTGAATAAATGAGGAAGTAGATTCTTGATAAAGAATCTTGGGCGTTTAGTTGGTGAAGGGCCATTTTGTCCATTATTAAAAGACATTTTATAAGTTTTAATTTTAGATTATTTTTAGTTTTTTTTAGTGAATGATATAAAGAATGAAAAAAATCTCACCTTTTATACTCGCGATTTAGGAGTATATCCTAATTACGAAATACTTTTTCAAAGGAGAAAGGAGAGATGTTACAACAAATTTGTGCTTCCGATAAAATATTAATCATCATCAATCATTTGAGTAATAGAAAAATTTAAATTAACGGTTGTTTACAATATTTAAAAACATTTTAATTCCTATAATATTACAAAAAAATTTTATTAACTTTCGTTTGTACTTCTGGTCATTCAAAATTTGAAAGTTGGTATTTCGAAATAATTTGATACACTCCTTACATTTGTACTTCCGGCCATTTTTTGAAATCATTTTAATTTTTTATCAAAATTTTGTCAAACTTATTTTCCCCTTTTTTATTTAATTAATTAATATATTTATTGAATTTTAAATTTTTAATTTTAATTAAAATCTTTTTTAATTTTTAAATACGAAATTCCCGCCAATTTTTAAATTTTGAAATCCCTCCCATTTATAAATTTGGTATTTTGCCAGTTGACATTTTGAAAGTTGGCATTTTGTCGCTTGACATTTTTAAAGTTACCATTTTATCGGTTGACCTTTTGGACATCGGCATTTTGTCACATGACATTTTGTCGGTGTGGCATTTTGTCGCTTGACATTTTGAAAGTTTGTATTTCGAAATAATTAGCTCCGCCCTTACATTCGTACTTCCGATCATTTTTTAAAATCATTTTAATTTTTTTCTAAAATTTTGTCAATTTATTTCTCCCATATTTAATTTAATTATTTTTAAAATTTTATAATTTATTTTTATTATCTACTAACACTAAGAAATTTTTTGAAAATTTTAAAATGCCACCCCCTTCTCCCAATTTTTTAAATTTGGCATTTCGAAATCCTCTTAAATTTCTACTTCCACTCTTTTTTTTGAAATCATTTTATTTTTTTGTTAAAATTTTGTAAAAATTTTTTCTTCCCCATTTTCTAATTAATTAATTAATTAATTAATATATATTTTTAATTTTTTAAATTTTGAATTTTTAATTATAACCTATTTTAATTTTTAAATTCGAAATTCCCGCCAATTTTTAAATTTTGAATTTCCTCCAATTTATAAATTTACCATTTTGTCGGTTGACATTTTGAAAGTTGGTATTTCTAAATAATTAGCCCCGCCCCCTTATATTTGTACTTCCGTTCATTTTTTGAAATCATTTTAATTTTTAGTCAAAATTTTGTAAATTTATTTTTTATTAATTTTATTTAATTAATATTATTTTTATTTAATTTTTTAAATTTATTTTTTAATTAGAAAGTCCCTTTTTAATTTAATTAATTTTGACATTTTAAATTTAATTAATTGATTTGATAATTTTTAGCCTTCCACCCAGATCGCTCTTTTCTTAAACGTATTAATTTATTTGACACCTGTCATCACCCTTTACCTTCAAAAAGTAATTAATTATTTTAAATATGATTAATTACCCTCACCCTTTTATTAATCTCCCTTGAACCCCTTCAAAAGGTATAGGTTGGCGGCATAATCAAAAGAAAAAAGCTTCAAAAGGTTTGGGTTTTAGAGATTTTGGGGTGAGCGATCTGGGGTGAGCGATTTGGGGGGGAGCGATTTGGGGGGGGGGGGGGGGGTTAACTACTAACTGGGACAAAAGGGTGGTTAGAAAAGAAAAATAGTGTGGTAAAAAAAATGTTCCGATTGGTTGTTCCCCATTGGCTCTCACACCTTTAAGTTTCCATTGGCCAATCACACATTTGTTGCAAACTGGGACAAAAGGGTGGAGACAAAGGGGTGGTTAGGAAAATAGAATGTGTCTTCACCTTTTGGCTTCCCTTGATTTGCCGACACACCCCTCCTTTTGTCCCACTTTTAAGTGGGACAAAAGGAGGGGTGTGTCGGCACACACCCCTCCTTTTGTCCCACTTTTAACAAGAAAATTCCTAACAATTTTCCATTAAAATACGTTCTCTCTCTTTCCATAGGATAATGAATATACCTGAAAACTTTTTAAAAAGGGGGGGGGGAACAAGAGGGGGGAACAAGGGGGCGGGTTCGGAGAGCTCTTTCGAATGATATATAATAAATTATTTATCAAACATTAAAAGATAAACAAAGGAACAAGCCTATGAACAAGCAATACGTGAATCTACTATAATTTCTACGAAAGAAATGACGTCTTCAGCTACTGTAGCCGATTGGTTCAAGTAAATAGAAGCTTCGCAGGAAAAACTGTTTTTGTACTGCTACGGAGGGTAGGCCGGGCATGGTCTTCGCTACACGATGGCCGTGGTTCGCTACGGTCGCCGCGAGCGAAGCGAGCGGCGACCGTAGCGAAGCTGCGGCCGTCGTTCCGCTCGACTTGCCCGGCTTCCTCCGCAGCGGCAAAAACTTTTTTCCGCGTATTAATCCTTTAAACAATTTTTAAACAATTTTAGTTACTGCCGCGAGGTTACTTGTGTATATTTGGATGGACTATATGAGAACGACGGACCTATCGGGGGTCCGGGTCATATAATCGAATGTGACGAGATGAAACTAGAGAAGAGGGAATATGAAAGAGGACGTGTCGTAGAAGGGTCCTGGATTTTAGGAATGATAGACATTGAAACTAATGAACTCCGTTTGGAAATTTGTCCTGACAACAAGCGTGACAAAGACACACTTCTCTCTCTCATAACAAAACATGTACGTCCCGACAGCACAATCTTCACAGATTTTTGGCGAGGATATGCGGATCTTTTTGCCAATGGTTTTGAGCATTACTGTGTAAATCATCAACTGCATTTTGTAAATCCGGAAACGCAAGCAAACACAAATAAAATTGAGTCACAATGGCGACCAATAAGAAAAAGGCTTGCACGTGGAGGTGTTCATAAAGAAAAACTAGCCGATCATTTATGTGAATTTTTATGGCGACGTGATGCGAAAAGACACGAAAAAGATACTTTCAATCATTTAATTACAATAATTGCAAAACAATTTAATTTTTCTTAAATTTTTTGACTGATTCCTGTTGAGCCTTAGGAAAGCTACGAAAATAAATACGTACATTATTTTTAATTTCCGTGTCACAAAACCATATAATAATTACTTTATGATAGCAAAGATAAATAATGAGAGTGCTGAGACACGTTTTTTCTGCAGGTGGTACGCTAAAGTACAGCCTCCAATTCTATTAAAATTTTTTATTAAAAAACAAAAATAACCAATAACACCAGCCAGACCAAAAAAATTTTTTTTCCAATAATTTGAAACTAATTGTTTTTTTTGAGGGAGCAGACAATTCTATTATTAAAGATTTTTATTAAAATAAAAATAAAAAAGCTAACCAACAAAAACCAGTAGACCAAAAAATTTTTCCAATAAATATTGAAACAAATAATTGGTATTTGCTGAAAGCTCTTTTTAAAAGAAGAGCTCAAAATAATATATTAATTGAACCTGTAAAAATTATTTATTAAAAATTTTATTTAAGTAAAAATATAAATGGAAAAATATAAGGGATAGGGAAGCCAGAATAGGTCAAATTGTGAGTATAAAGTGTCAATTTGCATAAAGAAAAAACACTTTATACTCACAATTTGACCTATTCTGGCTTCCCTCCCCTTAATATATAAAAGGAAAAATAAAGTTCTAGGTCATCCCGCCTAGAAAAGAAGAGAGTGGCTTTGTTTATGTTTTCACTCTCTTCTTTTCTAGACGGGATGACCTGTTTGATAAAAGAGACAGTATTTACAAATCGACTCCCGTACTTCCAAACTGAACTGTCCAAAGTTTTAGTTCAAGGGGACGAATCCAAAGGGGACGAATCCAAGGTGGGACGAATCCAAGCGCAGCCGTGGCGTACGGTTAACTACTCCTGGCCCAAAACCTTTACCTTTAAAAGGAAATATTGACCAAATTTTTGGTAAAAATATAGCAGTAATACAAAAACAAAAATGGAGTAAAGAATATGGAAGTGTTTATGGAATTAGAAATGGATGGTTTAATGAATTAGTTATTAGTGATCCAGTAATGGTTAAAGAAGTGTTTGTTGACTCAGAGACTTTGCCCTATTGCTTCGTAATTTTCTTCTTCAAATTTAATAAATTTATACACTCACTTTAAGTGGGGTAAATCGTATATGTGAAGAAACAACAACTCTTGGTAATATAATTTTAGAGAAAGGCACAAATATATCTATTGACTCGTTAACTCTTCATAGAGATCCAAAACTTTGGGGAGAAGATGCTGAAGAATTTAAGCCTGAAAAGTAGATGTTGTTTTTAGAAGACGTTCCTATACCAAAGAATTTTTTCGGCCCTATCTGAATAAGAGGGCGGTTTGATTTTTTTCATCATTTTTTTCCTACCTTAATATATAAATAATGTCAGTCTTTTCTTCCTCGTTCGATTCCACTCGTTTTACCTGTGGCATTCAAATGAGAGGACAGACAAACACACACATGGACTGACAAAACGGACAAAGAACGCGGTCGTCCGTGTTTTGTCTGTCTGTGTTCGTCCGTGTTTTGTCTGTCTGTGTTCGTCCGTGTTTTGTCTGTCTGTGTTCGTCCGTGTTTTGTCTGTCTGTGTTCGTCCGTGTTTTGTCTGTCTGTGTTCGTCCGTGTTTTGTCTGTCTGTGTTCGTCCGTGTTTTGTCTGTCTGTATTCGTCCGTGTTTTGTCTGTCTGTGTTCGTCCGTGTTTTGTCTGTCTGTATTCGTCCGTGTTTTGTCTGTCTGTGTTCGTCCGTGTTTTGTCTGTCTGTGTTCGTCCGTGTTTTGTCTGTCTGTGTTCGTCCGTGTTTTGTCTGTCTGTGTTCGTCCGTGTTTTGTCTGTCTGTGTTCGTCCGTGTTTTGTCTGTCTGTGTTCGTCCGTGTTTTGTCTGTCTGTGTTCGTCCGTGTTTTGTCTGTCTGTGTTCGTCCGTGTTTTGTCTGTCTGTGTTCGTCCGTGTTTTGTCTGTCTGTGTTCGTCCGTGTTTTGTCTGTCTGTGTTCGTCCGTGTTTTGTCTGTCTGTGTTCGTCCGTGTTTTGTCTGTCTGTGTTCGTCCGTGTTTTGTCTGTCTGTGTTCGTCCGTGTTTTGTCTGTCTGTGTTCGTCCGTGTTTTGTCTGTCTGTGTTCGTCCGTGTTTTGTCTGTCTGTGTTCGTCCGTGTTTTGTCTGTCTGTGTTCGTCCGTGTTTTGTCTGTCTGTGTTCGTCCGTGTTTTGTCTGTCTGTGTTCGTCCGTGTTTTGTCTGTCTGTGTTCGTCCGTGTTTTGTCTGTCTGTGTTCGTCCGTGTTTTGTCTGTCTGTATTCGTCCGTGTTTTGTCTGTCTGTGTTCGTCCGTGTTTTGTCTGTCCGAGTCCGTCCGTGGTCAGTCTTTTCTTCCTTTTTGAATCCGTCCATGTTTTGTTTGCCCTCTCATTTGAATATGCCACGGGTAAAACGAGTGGAATTGAACGAGGAAGAAAAGACTGACCATTATTTATATATTAAGGTAGGAAAAAAATGATGAAAAAAAATCAAACCGCCCTCTTATTCAGATAGGGTCATTTTTTCCTTCAAAACATCAATTTATTTATTTAGATGGTTAAATGGAGGGGAACTAGCATTTTATTATCCGTTTGGCGGCGGACCTAGAATTTGTATTGGATTACGTTTTGCAATAATGGAGACAAAAATGAGACTTGTTAGATTACTTAAAACTTTTGAATTGAAACGTTGTTTAGAGACAGAGGTAAAAATAAATAAAATATTGAAATTGATATTTTTAAGGATTTTCTAACCCCAATACTTTAAAAGCAAACCGGAACCGGAACCAAAAAACACCGGAAGTTCCGGTTTTCAGAACCGGAACTTCCGGCCCAACACTAATATTTTGTAATATTTTTTAGGCTGCCAAAAGGCCATCTAAATTCAATTTGTAAAAGTGTAAAAATGTCAATTCAAGGTGGGCGGATCATGGAAATATCAGATATCCTGAGCTTGTTCGATTTTTACTTAGGATTTATATTTTTTGCGATTCGACCAACCCTATCCGTGATATGAACCAAAAATTTCAACTATTCAACATTTTCGTTATGATCCGCCAGACCTATTTATTTTTTAAAATTAGAAAGAATAAAGTATTTTACAAATATTTTCTTTAAAATTATTATACTGAATGCTAGAAAAACTTAGAAAGCATTGTTATAGTAGAAAGAAGCAGGAGTGAATAATTAGAATTAAGGGAAGGAATGAAAAAGAATATTGTTAGCTAGACTTTAAAATATTAGAAAATAGTGTTTGTTTTAAATATCCTCTCTCTATTTGCCTATTTCACGACAATAAGTTCTAAAGAATATCTTCATCTTTATTTAAAGAGGAGCATTCTACTGTAAGTGACGAGGCACGGGTGGAGGCTGATGGTTTAATGTTAAAGGGTTTAATGCCTTTTATACATTGTAAGTAGCCTGGATAGTTAAATTGTGATTAGTTTTATTCATATCAGGTATTCTGCTTGTTGCCATCGTACTATCTTTTTCTTTAAAAAAATGCAGCGGTAGCAGCTTCATCGGATGTCGGAACCGATCACACTTGATAAACGAGATCAACTTTGAGCAATATATGGTCATCATTTGATTTTTCAATCATCAGACCATTAATTCTTTTGACCTCCCCCTCCACAGTGTGTATTTATTATTTTGCCCACACTCCTCCACAAACCCGTTAGGGCTTTTCCTCCAGGCAGGCACTTAGGGATATGAATAAAACTAATCACAATAAGGCACTTCAACAGCAGCTGATCAAGTTTGATGTATGTCAGACCTACATTCTCCACTCCCTCACCACCGCTGATACACTTTTTAAAAATTAACGGCTATATATATATAGTCGTTAATATTTCCTGGAATCTTCGATAAGTTGTAAACCTAGATAGAGAAAAGAATAATGATTAGTCTAAACAAGAGGGTGAGGTGTGTTCTTCGTGTTGTGACCCCGCTTACGTAGAGGAAGACAACAGAAATTCCCATCATCGATGAGGTGGGCATGCCTGGCTTCCTCCGCAGCAGCAAAAATCTCAACGGAGACCATAGGTAAGGAGCTAAAAGAAACGATCATAACTTTGTCTAATCAAATCAAATTTCAATGATTTTGATGTCTTTCGACTCAGCTCGACGAGCTCTTTCGAATGAGTTATAATTTGCATATTCGAATTTTTCACCCAAAATTGAGCTTACTCCCCCCTATGGTTTTTCGATTTTCGGGGACCTATATCTCGGCCCAAAGGTGAGTCCCGAAGCTAATTTTGGTGTCGTTCGGTTCCGGGTGATATGACGGAATTTTACCGCAAAAATATTTATGCCGTGAAAAAAAGCTTGTAATTGTTGCTGATCCCATAATAAATCTTTATTATTCTGATTGCAATAAAGAAGTTCGGAGCAGGGGGATAAAACGCAAGTCAAAAAACGACGTAATTTACGTAATTCGCATTGGGTTAAGGATCAAAGCTCATCTCTCTATTTATCCTCAGACAGCGAAAAATTAAGAGCAGTTATTGAGTAAATATGTTAACAAATAAATAATCAAGATTTTCACATAATATTTTTATGAAAAATAATTTCCAAAACTTCATCTGAGATAAATAACAAAAAAACCAAAATATTTTTAAAAACAACACCTTATAAAATAATTGCAGAGATTCTGAAAATGAGGCAAAAAAAGTTTCTTCCCCAACTTCTAATGGAAAAAGAAAAGTTGATGTTTTAGAGCTTGTTAGAAACCATAATTTAAAAATTATGAAAATAAATGATAATTATGAAAAGAAAAATAGTAGTAATAAATCTTCAAGTAAAGAAATTAGAGTTAATAATTCCAGTGGAAAAGACAAAAAACAACAGAAAACAAAAAGTCTTGCAATTTTATGATTAAATTAAAGTTTGAAGTTTTATCTTTTTTGATTGCTTGAATATTTTAAGTAAAAATTATTATAAAGTCATTTATAAATTTTTTTTCCAAAATTGTGAGAATGTTGAATAAATATATAAACATATTTTATTTTTTTAATGATTATTGATATATCCGCTTTGTAAATATATTTAAATATTTTAGATAAAAGTATTTTCTTTCTCAAAATTCCTTTTTTGTTCGCAAAATTATTCGACAATTGTAATGATGAAGCTTTACGGAGAATCCTTTAATTTTTTCACTAGAAGGTGGATGTAGAGGATCAACCGGTAAAACTTGAAAATGACGAAAGAAATTTGCAGTAAAAAGAAATAAATTATATGAATGATAACAAATTTTTCTAATTTTTTAGGTTTTGAGTAACCAACATCAGCAATTTAAACCTATGCCGACTATAGGTTTGAGTACCACTACCTCGATTTAAAAAAAGTAGATTCTTCTCATACAATTTTTTTATTAAAAATTTACTTTTTCATTAAATAGCACACAGCAAATTTGTGGAATAATGGATATGCCCTTTCTAAGGTGATATTTCCCTTCTAAAATTTGAGCATCTGTCATTGTTCGGTGTGTAAGATTTAATGGAAGTAAATTACAAACACGTTGTGTTTCCTAAAAATTATTTTATTTTGATTAAAATTTATTTCCCCTACATTAATAACAGCATTTAAAAAAGGTAATTTTCCTCTATCAGCTTGTGTATCAGAATTATCAAATCCATTACGGCCCTTTTCCTCCTCCAAACGATCTAATTCTTTATGCATTTTTGATTGAACTCTTTGGTCAAGTATTAAATATAAAATTAAAAAATTTAATGTAGTAGAAGTTGTGTCTTGACCAGCCAAAAATAAATCAAAACAAAAGGGTGTTATAGTCTTAAAGCTTAAAAATAAGTATAGAAATTGCCATTAACTAGGGAACAACGCCAACAAAATTAATGCATTATTTAAAGCTTATACTTGGAGGGGGAAAATTATGCCGAATTTTGAGACTTTGGAGGGCCATATCTTGGCCAGATCAAAAAAGAGCAAAAACGGCTCAAAATCCTTGCTAGGAAGGGCATATTCTCTATCAAAGGAGCCCGGTATCGACCGTTTTTAGGTAGGACACCTCATTATATTTTTTAATTCCATATATAAATTAAAATATTACCTAAAATATTCATCCTTTCCCGCCTCTATCTGATCAAGAAAATAATCAACTAAATCATTGGGTTCTCCTCTCTCTTCAGGCGTTTGTTTCTCCCGTTCAGAAATTCTTTTATTTATCGGCCTTTTAATAAATTCATAACAAATTTTCAAATTATTGTCTAATTTTTTAAATGTTTGTGAAAATATGGGGAAATATCGAAGCCAAGGCATTGTCATTAACATAAAGCCTGTTAATGATGAAAGTAAACACGTTTGATCTTCTAAATGTTGCTTTATTTCGTAGAATTCAGACATATGTTCCTTAATATTATAATAGAAATATTCTTAAGACCACATATACAGAACCAAATTAAACTTATAATGATATTATTTTATATATTTTTGCATATTTTTACCAAAACTTTTCGTAATCCGTAATTATTTTTACACCTAGTTTGAAGCAAAAAACGCTTAAAAATATTTACATTATCCAAATGTGACACGATTTACTGTAGTCCCAGCTAAACGATCTATTTTACTTTGAATATTGACATTATATCCCCCATTTTTAGATATTTCCTCTTTTATTTGTTCAATAAATCTTTCCATATCTTCAAGTAAATGCTTTTCAAGTCCAGCCCTTCCAACGCCCAAATTACGCATTGACTGTAGACCGAATCGACGCACAACCTTCCAGGGATCTCCTTCAGTGCGTATAACACCCCCATAATCGTCCTTTACAACTTAAAGATTTCGTATTAGAAAAATTCTAATAAGCTCCTTTCACACTTTTTATAATCCAGCAAGGCTGCATGATGGGTATGCTATACTCAACTAACATTTGACCATTTTAAACCCTAATGTTTGAACTTACTGACAAAGAATTCCTAACAATTTTCCATTAAAATACGTTCTTTCTTTACTCTCTCTATAGGATATGAATATACCTGAAAACGTTTTAAAAAGATCGCCCATAAGATTTCGACCAGCATAAACATCACCTTCTTTAATAAAAAGGTCACGCATAATTTCATAATCAGTAACTATAACAGTTGGATCTTCTCCTAGCCAAATTGTATAAACTGGGCCATATTCTTTTGCCCAAATTTGGAATTGTTCATAAATTGAACTTAATTTTAATATAAAGGGATTAAAAATAATTCTTTTACTAAACCCATTATGATATGGCTTGAAGCTGGTTCTAGCCAGGAATTGGGAAATTACCGATGTTTTTAAGTCGGGAAATCCTACGGCGCCAAAAGTTCATTTCAATGTGCGGGTTTGGCGTAAAAATTTAATCTCAATCTAGGGTCTAGAGCTGCCCGTGTGAAGACTTGTTTTCTCATATTTTAAACTCCAAGACAAAGAATAAGTTAAGCAAATCTTGATTTAACAAACTCAAGACCAAGAGTCTCGTAAGTCGTTGCAAAAATGTATGCTTTCATTATCATTGACATACATAATTTCATAATTTTTACTTAATCTTTAAAAATTCATAAAAAACTTGTAGGTAAAGAAAAAATTTTGAATCTTTCAGAAAATGAAGAAAACAATATGACAAAAATTAGATAGACTGAACATTGAAATATAAATTTCCAAACTTACATGATATAAGGGGGGCTAATTATTTATGTTACTCTTCATAGTTTATTATTCTGGTCTCTACATATGTTGGGTATGAATTAAACAATCTCTATATTTAATTTCGAAAAAACTTTAACCAACTTATTTATCGAAAATGCATTTCCAAAAATAGGCAATGGAATCGGTCCAGGAGGTAATCCTTTTCGCTTCCAAACAAAATTCCAAAATAAAACAGTTGTAAAGAAAAGAAAAAATAAAAGTAAAAACATTTATTTTTTGATTAAAAAATATTTTATTTATCTAAATTTATATATACATAGTAATTATTTGGGTGGGGGCTAACTCAAGTAATACCAACTCAAAGAACAGACAAGACTGTTCTTTGAGTTAGCTCGACAAGAATTATTTAATGTGAGCGAAAATCTTAATTTATTTATAATTTATTTAAGAAATTATAAAGGTATAAATTTGTTAAATTGTAGTTTGTATTAAATATTTTGTGAAATTAAATTAAAAATTAAAAAGTTTTCTTATGTCGCGTTGACTGTAAACAAACAAAAAATTAAAACGAATTAAATAAAATTATTGGAAATTAATTCAAATAGGCGAATAAATTAACGATAATTTAAAATTAAAAAAAGACAAAAATTTTTTGAAATAAAAAACTTTAAAAAATTAAACAAATCGCAAAAATAAAGTAGTATATTTAAATTATATATTATATTAATAAAAACATTTAATTATAAATTAATAATTAAGTATAATTTCTACTTTTGCAATTTTCTACAAATTTACAATATCGTTAACATGCACCTTATGTAGGATTCTCGAAAGAATTATCGCACAACATTTAACAAAATTCTTAGAAGATAATATGTTATTTATTAAAAATCAATTTGGATTCTTAAACAAAGATCCATAGCCGCACAATCTAAAATAGATTATTTATATAATGCAATACAAAATGGATATATAATATAGATATGTATTATTTACATAGATATTGCAAAGCATCTGACACTACGAATAATATTCTTTTATATAAGATAGAAATGCAGGCATAGGTGAAAATTATGCATTTTTTAACAACTACATATCATATCAGATACATATCACAATTAGGAAACATTCTCAAGTGTACTTCAAGGAAGTGTCCTAGGACCACTTCTATTTCTTATTTTTATAAATGATCTTCCTGATGAAATCCCTAAAATGTTGAATGCGACAAGGGTTCTCAAATGCGCCCGGGCCGGGCTTTCGGGCTAGAAACTACCAAAACCTCTAAACCCGGATCTCATCAAAATACCTGGTTTCCGGGATACCGGCCACGGAAGACCCGGTCGCAGCCCGGGTCTTAACTCTAATAGTAACTATTCTCAGTAATTCCTATTAGGTTAGAATTCTCTCTTGAATAAACCCATTGTTAATATTTCCGATTTTTACTGTAATCCGAAATGTTGATATTAGGAAAAGAATTTGAGCTGTATATGTAGCATGTTTATTTTTCTTTTTGAATAAGATCAAATATTTTATTGACGAGTGTTGGAAAAAATCAAATTTTTTCAAATACTTTCAAATATCAAATAGTTTGATTTGATATTTGATTTTGCCGTTTGTTCGATCTCTATCATAAAGTGCGACTGGACTCATAAACTGAAGTAGGGCCAAAAATATTATAAAGTCATTTATAAACTCTTTTCCAAAATTGTGATAATGTTGAATATATAAACATATTTTATTTTATAATGATTATTGATATATCTGCTGTGTAAATAATTATATTATTTAAATATTTTAGATAAAAGTATTTTCTTTCTCAAAATTCCTTTCTATTTCGCAAAATTATTCGACAATTGTAATGATGAAGCTTTACGGAGAATCCTTTAATTTTTTCACTAGAAGGTGGATGTAGAGGATCAACCGGTAAAACTTGAAAATGACGAAAGAAATTTGCAGTAAAAAGAAATAATTCTGTTTTGGCTAATGATTCTCCCATACAAATTCTGTTAAAAATAATAATATTTTTAAAAATAATTAATTAAAGTACCTCTTCCCTAAACTAAAAGGAATAAATTCTTCAATACGTTTTAATTGACCTTGATCATCCAAAAATCTTTCTGGTTCGAAACGATGAGGATTGGGGAATATCTGAAAATAAAAATGGGAATGAAAATAAAAAGCCCTCTACATCAGGGCTGGCATATATTAATTAATTAGAAATTAATCATTGTATCCTGCCATTTAAGAGGCTCAATCTCTTACAATTATGAGACTAATGAGAATTTTTTTCATTTTTCAGATTTTGAGTAACCAGCATCAGCGATTAAAACCTATATCAACTATAGGTGTGAGTACTTCGATTTAAAAAAGGTATACTGTATACCATAAAATCTTTATGGGCAGAAGTGCCAATATTTTTTACTAAACATTCACCTTTTCATCAAATAACACACAACTAATTTGTGGTATAATTGATGTGCCCTTTTTAATATGAAATTTCCCTCCTAAAATTTGAGCATCTGCCATTGTTCGGTGTGTAAGATTTAATGGAAGTAAATTACAAACACGTTGTGTTTCCTAAAAATTATTTTATTTTCATTAAAAATTCTCTTTCCCCTACATTAATAACAGCATTTAAAAAGGGTAATTTTCCTCTATCAGCTTGTGTAACAGAATTATCAAATCCATTACGGCCCTTTTCTTCATCCAAACGATCTAATTCCTCATGCATTTTTGATTGAACTCTTTGGTCGAGTATTAAATATAAAATTAAGAAATTTAATGTAGTAGAAGTTGTGTCTTGACCAGCCAAAAATAAATCAAAACAAAAAGGTGCTATAGTCTTCAAGCTTAAAAATAATTATAGAAATTGCCATTAACTAGGGAACAACGCCAACAAAATTAATGCATTATTTAAAGCTTATATTTGGAGGGGGAAAATTATGCCGAATTTTGAGACTTTGGAGGGCCATATCTTGGCCAGATCAAAAAACGGGCAAAAACGGCTCAAAATCCTTGCTAGAAAGGATTTTGAGGAGCCCGGTATCGACCGTTTTTAAGTAGGACACCTCACAACCTTCCATATAAATTAAAATTTACCTAAAATATTCATCCTTTCCTGTCTCTATCTGATCAAGAAAATAATCAACTAGATCATTAGGTTCTCCTCTCTCTTCAGGCGTTTGTTTCTCCCGTTCAGAAATTCTTTTATTTATCGGCCTTTTAATAAATTCATAACAAATTTTCAAATTATTGTCTAATTTTTTAAATGTTTGTGAAAATATGGGGAAATATCGAAGCCAAGGCATTGTCATTAACATAAAGCCTTTTAATGATGAAAGTAAACACGTTTGATCTTCTAAATGTTGCTTTATTTCGTAGAATTCAGACATATGTTCCTTTAAATTATAACATGTAGAAATATTCTTAAGACCACATATGTATATAGAACCAAATTAAATTTATAATGATATTATATTATATATTTTTGCATATTTTTACCAAAACTTTTCGTAATCCGTAATTATTTTTACACCTAGTTTGAAGCAAAAAACGACTAAAAATATTTACATCTTCGAAAGGATATCCAAAGGTAACACGATTTACTGTAGTTCCAGCCAAACGATCTATTTTACTTTGAAGATTGACATTATATCCCCCGTTTTTAGATATTTCCTCTTTTATTTGGTCAATAAATCTTTCCATATCTTCAAGTAAATGCTTTTCAAGTCCAGCCCTTCCAACACCCAAATTACGCATTGACTGTAGACCGAATCGACGCGCAGCCTTCCAGGGATCTCCTTCAGTGCGTATAACACCGCCATAATCGTCTTTTACAACTTAAAAATTTCGTATTAGGAAAATTTTATTAATATGCTTTTACACTTGTTAAAATGTAGTAGGGCAAAAAATGTATGATGATGTATGATGGATAAAATGTCTGATGAGTATGCTATACTCAACTAACATTTGACCATTTTAAACCCTAATGTTTGAATTTACTGACACAAGAAAATTCCTAACAATTTTCCATTAAAATACGTTCTTTCTTTACTCTCTCTATAGGATATGAATATACCTGAAAACGTTTTAAAAAGATCGCCCATAAGATTTCGACCAGCATAAATATCACCTTCTTTGATAAAAAGGTCACGCATAATTTCATAATCAGTAACAATAACAGTTGGATCTTCTCCTAGCCAAATTGTATAAACTGGGCCATATTCTTTTGCCCAAATTTGGAATTGTTCATAAAGTGAACTTAATTTTGATATAATTAAAAATAATTTTTTACTAAACCCATTATGATAGGCTTGAAGCTGGTAGCCAGGAATTGGGGAATTCCCGATGTTTTTAGGTCGGAAATTCCTACGGCGCCTAAAGTTCATTTTAATGTGCGGGTTTGGCGTAAAAATTTAATCTCAATCTAGGGTATCGAGCTGCCCGTGTGAAGACTTGTTTTCTCATATTTTAAATTCCAAGACAAAGAATAAGTTAAGCAAATCATGACTTAACAAACTCAAGACCAAGAGTCTCGTAAGTCGTTGCAAAAATGTTTGCTTTCATTATCATTGACATAATTACAATATTTTAAGGCGTAAATGGATTGGGGGGTGCCGGAATTTTGGTCACTGGAATTTTGGTCACCACGATTTTTCGGAACTTTGGTCACCAATTTTTTTGGAATTTTGGTCACCAGCGGAATTTTGGTCACCAAGTCAAAAAGCGGAATTTTGGGCACTGAAATTTTGGTCACCAATAGGAATTTTGGTCACCAAACGGAAAAAAAGAATCTGGATATACTTTAGCCGGTGGCCCACTCAGAAACGGTTCAATTTATATACCATTCGATTCGTCTCGGCGAGCTGAGTCGAATGGTACCATTCATTTTTTGCGGAAATTCCTACGAGCCGAGATATAGGTCCTTAAAAATCGAAAAACCATAGGGGGGACCAAGCACTTTTTTGGGGTGAAAAATTCGAATATGCAAATAATAGCTCATTCGAAAGAGCTCCTCGAGCTGAGTCGAATGACACCAATATCAACGAAATCCGACTAAATAGGACCGAGATATAGGCGTCTGAATACTGTTAACCCAAAGGGGTGATTTTTGGTACTAAAAATTTTTTAAGCATATTATAGCTCATTCGAAAGAGCTCGACGAGCTGAGTCGAATGACACCAAAATCACCGAGATTAAACAAGTTTAGACAAAGTTACAACACAAAAAACTAGCAACATAAACCTATGGGGCGTCGGCGAGGCGCTTGTGCAAAACTCCGCGCTTCGCGCGGAGTTTTGCGGCAGGCGCCTCGCGGGGAGTCTACGGGCGTTGGGTCTGGGCTCGTAACATAAACTTATGCCTATTTTAGCTGCGGTCGGCATGTCTGGCTTCCTCCCCAGCAAGAAAAACCTGCACGTAGACCAAATGTAAGGAGCTAAAACAAATGCGCATAACTTTGTCAAATCAAGTCGGATTTCGTTGATTTTGGTATCATTCGACTCAGCTCGAGGAGCTCTTTCGAATGAGCTTTTATTTGCATATTCGAATTTTTCACCCCAAAAAAGTGCTTGGTCCCCCCTATGGTTTTTCGATTTTTAAGGACCTATATCTCGGCTCGTAGGAATTTCCGCAAAAAAGAATCGTACCATTCGACTCAGCTCGCCGAGACGAATCGAATGGTATATAATTTGACCCGTTTCTGAGTGGGCCACCGGTTAAAGTACAGCCAAGAATCTTATCTAAAACTGATATCAAAGTGATAAAAAATGATTTTTCAACCCATATTTCATCAATTTCAATGTTTATCACTTTCCCGGCTGATCACTCTCTCGGGTGATCACTCTCGATCACTCTCCCGGAGGATTGATTAACTGGCAGAGTGATAAACATTGAAATTGATCAACTGGGGTTGAAAAACATTACTTTATCACATTTATATCAGTTTAAAATAAAATTAAATTCTTCCGTTTGGTGACCAAAATTCCTATTGGTGACCAAAATTTCAGTGCCCAATATTCCGTTTTTTGACTTGGTGACCAAAATTCCGCTGGTGACCAAAATTCCAAAAAAGTTGGTGACCAAAGTTCCGAAAATCCTTGGTGACCAAAATTCCGGTGACCAAAATTCCGTACACCGGATTGGGACTAATTTCATAATTTTTACTTAATCTTTAAAAATTAATAAAAAATTTGTAGCTAAAAAAATTTTTTGATCTTTCAGAAAATGAAGAAAACAATATGACAAAAATTAGATAGATTGGAGAACTGAACATTGAAATATAAATTTCCAAACTTACATGATTTAAGGGGGGCTAATTATTTATGTTACTCTTCATATTTTATTATTCTGGTCTCTACATATGTTGGGTATGAATTCAGCAATCTCTATATTTAATTTCGAAAAAACTTTAACCAACTTATTTATCGAAAATGCATTTCCAAAAATAGGCAACGGAACCGGTCCAGGCGGTAAACCTTTTCGCTTCCAAACAAAATTCCAAAATAAAACAGTTGTAAAGAAAAGAAAAAATAAAAGTAAAAACATTTATTTTTTGATTAAAAAATATTTTATTTATCTAAATTTATATATGTATATAGTAATTATTTGGGTGGGGGCTAACTCAAGGAATACCAACTCAAAGAACAGACAAGTCTGTTCTTTGAGTTAGCTCGACAAGAATTATTTAATGGGAGCGAATATCTTTTTATTTATAATTTATTTGAGAAATGATAAAGGTATAACTTTGTTAAATTGTAGTTTGTATTAAATATTTTGTGAAATTAAATTAAAAATTAAAAAGTTTTCTTATGTCGCGTTGACTGTAAATAAACGAAAAATTAAAAAGAATTAAATAAAATTAATGAAAATTAAATCAAATAGGCGAATAAATTAACATTAATTTGAAAAACAAATCGCAAAAATAAAGTAGAAAAAATAACACGCAAAAATAACATTTAATTATAAATTAATAATTAAGTATAATTTCTACTTTTTGCAATTTTCTACAAATTTACTTTTTGCAATTTTCTACAAATTTACTTTTTGCAATTTTCTACAAATTTACAATATCGTTAACATGCACCTTATGTAGGATTCTCGAAAGAATTATCGCACAACATTTAACAAAATTCTTAGAAGATAATATGTTATTTATTAAAAATCAATTTGGATTCTTAAACAAAGATCCATATCCACACAATCTTAAATGGATGATTAATATAATGCAATACAGGATGGATATAATATAGATATTATTTACATCGACATTGCTAAGCATCTGACACTACGAATAATATTCTTTTATATAAGATAGAAATGCAGTTCCTGATGAAGTCTGAAAATGTTGAATGCGACCCAGGGCGGGCTTCCGGGCTAAAAACTCCAAAAACCCATAAACCCGGATATCATCAAAATACCTGGTTTGCGGGATACCGGGCACAGAAAACCCGGTCGCAGGCCCGGCTTTGAACTCTAATAGTAACTAGTGTCAGTAATTCCTATTAGGTTAGAATTCTCTCCTGAATAAACCCATTGTTAATATTTCCGATTTTTACTGTAATCCGAAATGTTGATATTAGGAAAAGAATTTGAGCTGTATATGTAGCATGTTTATTTTTCTTTTTGAATAAGATCAAATATTTTATTGACGAGTGTTGGAAAAAATCAAATTTTTTCAAATACTTTCAAATATCAAATAGTTTGATTTGATATTTGATTTTGCCGTTTGTTCGATCTCTATCATAAAGTGCGACTGGACTCATAAACTGAAGTAGGGCCAAAAATATTATAAAGTCATTTATAATATTCTTTTTTAGAAATTAATTACTGCAGTCTGCCATCTAAGAGAGCTGAATTCTCTGTCATTATGTGAATGCTAAGAATTTTTCTCATTTTTCAGATTTCGAGTAACCAGCATCAGCAATTACCACTACTTCGATTTAAAAAAGGTATACTGTATACCATAAAATCTTTATGGGCAGAAGTGCCAATATTTTTTACTAAACATTCACCTTCTCATCAAATAACACACAACAAATTTGTGGAATAATTGATGTGCCCTTTTTAATATGAAATTTTCCTCCTAAAATATGAGCATCTGCCATTGTTCGGTGTGTAAGATTTAATGGGAGTAAATTACAAACACGTTGTGTTTCCTAAAAATTATTTTTTCCTTTCATTGAAAATTCTCGATCCATTACATTAATAACAGCATTTAAAAAAGGTAATTTTCCTCTATCAGCTTGTGTAACAGAATTATCAAATCCATTACGGCCCTTTTCTTCCTCCAAACGATCTAATTCTTCATGCATTTTTGATTGAACTCTTTGGTCGAGTATTAAATATAAAATTAAAAAATTTAATGTAGTAGAAGTTGTGTCTTGACCAGCCAAAAATAAATCAAAACAAAAAGGTGCTATAGTCTTCAAGCTTAAAAATAATTATAGAAATTGCCATTAACTAGGGAACAACGCCAACAAAATTAATGCATTATTTAAAGCTTATATTTGGAGGGGGAAAATTATGCCGAATTTTGAGACTTTGGAGGGCCATATCTTGGCCAGATCAAAAAACGGGCAAAAACGGCTCAAAATCCTTGCTAGAAAGGATTTTGAGGAGCCCGGTATCGACCGTTTTTAAGTAGGACACCTCACAACCTTCCATATAAATTAAAATTTACCTAAAATATTCATCCTTTCCTGTCTCTATCTGATCAAGAAAATAATCAACTAGATCATTAGGTTCTCCTCTCTCTTCAGGCGTTTGTTTCTCCCGTTCAGAAATTCTTTTATTTATCGGCCTTTTAATGAATTCATAACAAATTTTCAAATTATTGTCTAATTTTTTAAATGTTTGTGAAAATATGGGGAAATATCGAAGCCAAGGCATTGTCATTAACATAAAGCCTGTTAATGATGAAAGTAAACACGTTTGATCTTCTAAATGTTGCTTTATTTCGTAGAATTCAGACATATGTTCCTTTAAATTATAACATGTAGAAATATTCTTAAGACCACATATGTATATAGAACCAAATTAAATTTATAATGATATTAAATTATATATGCATATTTTTACCAAAACTTTTCGTAATCCGTAATTATTTTTACACCTAGTTTGAAGCATAAAACGTTTAAAAATATTTACATCTTCGAAGGGATATCCAAATGTAACACGATTTACTGTAGTCCCAGCTAAACGATCTATTTTACTTTGAAGATTGACATTATATCCCCCATTTTTAGATATTTCCTCTTTTATTTGGTCAATAAATCTTTCCATATCTTCAAGTAAATGCTTTTCAAGTACAGCCCTTCCAACACCCAAATTACGCATTGACTGTAGACCGAATCGACGCGCAGCCTTCCAGGGGCCTATGCAAATTAGATCATATTTCTGATATGACGTGTCATATTTATGACATGTCATATGTAGCTGTTCAAATTGTATCATATTTACGATATGATATCATATTTATGATATAATATGCCGCATATGACACGGGGATATGACGGCTACATATGACGGCCACATATGACGCCGTATCATATGCAGCCGTCATATGTAAATTATTCTGTTCAAATTAACATATGATATGACACCCGCATATGATTTCCTTATTGAGTCCCAATGAATACCTCAATTGAGTCCCAATGAATTTATTTAAAAAAATCCAAATCTCTATGCGGGATTATTTTAAAAATGTTACGTGATGGATTGTATAAAATCCCTTTATTAAAAATTGTTGGTTGAGATTTTTAATTTTTTTCATTTAAATTTAATTTTAAACTGAAAAATTGATCATTTAAAAATAAATTATATATTTCAATTAGGGTTGCTCACGACCGGTTATTAACCGGTACCCCCCAGTTTTCGGTTAATCCAAATTTTAAAAATCGGTTTTTGGTTTTGAGTTTTAGACAAATACCGGTTTTATTTTGTGGGAATTTTTAATAAAATCACTCATTTTCAGAAGTTTTCGGTTTTTTAAATTTTGTTTTTAAAAATCGGTTAATTTTTGGCAAAAAATATCAAAATTTTCGGTTTTAAAACCGGTCGTGAGCAACCCTAATTTCAATGTCTTAAAAATTAATGGCCGGCTTCGCCTTTGATAAAATAAATTTTATTTTTTTTAAATCACACTTTGTAGTTCGAAATTAATTTTAAAAAGGTATCGTCAGTTAGAGCGTGAAGAATTTTTAATTAAAATGAAATTTCCATCCGGCTTATTTGTAGGGTTGTGCCTTGAACGCTCGGGGGCGGGTATGTATGTCGGGGTACGGGGCAACAAATTTTATTTTTCAAGAAAATTTTTTGTTTGGCTATACCCTAAATTAGAGATGTCCGAGACCGAAAATTTTCCAAGACCAAGACTAGACCCCAAGACCAAGACCAAAAAACCCCAAGAAATATGCTCGGACATCTTTACCCTCAATTACCCCAAAATCCTCCTTAATCCACAGCTATCCCTTTAATTTCTCCATTTCTTATATGAATAAATAGAGGAAAGTGTCTTAGATATTATGAGTAAAAATCAGAATTTTAGATTAACTTTCCCAACACTTATAAAATTTAAAAGACGTTTAATCGAGAAAATATTCCTTTTTTCTCTAAAAAATGGGGTACCTTACGCGAGGGCTTAAAATAAAACTTTTTTAAATGAAAATTTTTAAAAATGATATCAAAAGATAAAGCACACTCTAATCTATCAAAAATACTTAATTTTGAATTTTTGTATTTTTTTAAATACAAAAATTGTATTTTTTTTTAATTTTAATCAATCTCCTAAGATCACAAAAAAACCTAATATCCAACTTAATCCCTCTAAATTCTCATATATCCCCTTAATCCCTCCAAATTTTATACCAATAGATAGAGGAGAGTGTTTTACATACTAAAGTTAAATATCAGAATTTTAGCTTAATTTTCCTAGGACTTTTAAAATTTAAAAGACGCTTAATCGAAAAAATATTTTCCCTTTTTCTCGCAAAAATGGTGTACTTTACGCGAGAGCTCATAATAAATTTATTTTAAAAGAAAAATTCCCGAAACTTGGATCAAAAAATAGAGCACACTCTAATCTATTTAAAAATATTTTATTTGGAATTTTTAGGTTGAATTTGGATTTTTAAAAAATTTTTAAAAATTTAAGTATCCGCTAAAAAGTACATACACCCGCATATGATTTTTGCTAGGAGGACGTATCATATCGCAGATATGACACGGTTTAATTTGAACGCAGATATGACATGTCAGTGGAAAAGTCATACGCCGCGTATGACATGTCATAAATATGATATCATATTTCTGATATCATATTTATGACACAATTTGAACAGAGATATGACGGCTGCGTATGACATGTCAGAAATATGACATGTCATATGACGGCCGCATATGATTTTTCATATGACATAATTTGAACAGAAACTTTACATATGACGTGTCATAAATATGACATGTCATATCAGAAATATGATCTAATTTGCATAGGCCCCAGGGATCTCCTTCAGTGCGTATAACACCGCCATAATCGTCTTTTACAACTTAAAAATTTCGTATTAGGAAAATTTTATTAATATGCTTTTACACTTGTTAAAATGTAGTAGGGCAAAAAATGTATGATGATGTATGATGGATAAAATGTCTGATGAGTATGCTATACTCAACTAACATTTGACCATTTTAAACCCTAATGTTTGAATTTACTGACACAAGAAAATTCCTAACAATTTTCCATTAAAATACGTTCTTTCTTTACTCTTTCTATAGGATAATGAATGTACCTGAAAACGTTTTAAAAAGATCGCCCATAAGATTTCGACCAGCATAAATATCACCTTCTTTGATAAAAAGGTCACGCATAATTTCATAATCAGTAACAATAACAGTTGGATCTTCTCCTAGCCAAATTGTAAAAACTGGGCCATATTCTTTTGCCCAAATTTGGAATTGTTCATAAAGTGAACTTAATTTTGATATAATTAAAAATAATTTTTTACTAAACCCATTATGATAGGCTTGAAGCTGGTAGCCAGGAATTGGGGAATTCCCGATGTTTTTAGGTCGGAAATTCCTACGGCGCCTAAAGTTCATTTTAATGTGCGGGTTTGGCGTAAAAATTTAATCTCAATCTAGGGTATCGAGCTGCCCGTGTGAAGACTTGTTTTCTCATATTTTAAATTCCAAGACAAAGAATAAGTTAAGCAAATCATGACTTAACAAACTCAAGACCAAGAGTCTCGTAAGTCGTTGCAAAAATGTTTGCTTTCATTATCATTGACATAATTACAATATTTTAAGGCGTAAATGGATTGGGGGTGCCGGAATTTTGGTCACTGGAATTTTGGTCACCACGATTTTTCGGAACTTTGGTCACCAATTTTTTTGGAATTTTGGTCACCAGCGGAATTTTGGTCACCAAGTCAAAAAGCGGAATTTTGGGCACTGAAATTTTGGTCACCAATAGGAATTTTGGTCACCAAACGGAAAAAAAGATTCTTGGCTGTACTTTAGCCGGTGGCCCACTCAGAAACGGTTCAATTTATATACCATTCGATTCGTCTCGGCGAGCTGAGTCGAATGGTACCATTCATTTTTTGCGGAAATTCCTACGAGCCGAGATATAGGTCCTTAAAAATCGAAAAACCATAGGGGGGACCAAGCACTTTTTTGGGGTGAAAAATTCGAATATGCAAATAATAGCTCATTCGAAAGAGCTCCTCGAGCTGAGTCGAATGACACCAATATCAACGAAATCCGACTAAATAGGACCGAGATATAGGCGTCTGAATACTGTTAACCCAAAGGGGTGATTTTTGGTACTAAAAATTTTTTAAGCATATTATAGCTCATTCGAAAGAGCTCGACGAGCTGAGTCGAATGACACCAAAATCACCGAGATTAAACAAGTTTAGACAAAGTTACAACACAAAAAACTAGCAACATAAACCTATGGGGCGTCGGCGAGGCGCTTGTGCAAAACTCCGCGCTTCGCGCGGAGTTTTGCGGCAGGCGCCTCGCGGGGAGTCTACGGGCGTTGGGTCTGGGCTCGTAACATAAACTTATGCCTATTTTAGCTGCGGTCGGCATGTCTGGCTTCCTCCCCAGCAAGAAAAACCTGCACGTAGACCAAATGTAAGGAGCTAAAACAAATGCTCATAACTTTGTCAAATCAAGTCGGATTTCGTTGATTTTGGTATCATTCGACTCAGCTCGAGGAGCTCTTTCGAATGAGCTTTTATTTGCATATTCGAATTTTTCACCCCAAAAAAGTGCTTGGTCCCCCCTATGGTTTTTCGATTTTTAAGGACCTATATCTCGGCTCGTAGGAATTTCCGCAAAAAAGAATCGTACCATTCGACTCAGCTCGCCGAGACGAATCGAATGGTATATAATTTGACCCGTTTCTGAGTGGGCCACCGGTTAAAGTACAGCCAAGAATCTTATCTAAAACTGATATCAAAGTGATAAAAAATGATTTTTCAACCCCTATTTCATCAATTTCAATGTTTATCACTTTCCCGGCTGATCACTCTCTCGGGTGATCACTCTCGATCACTCTCCCGGAGGATTGATTAACTGGCAGAGTGATAAACATTGAAATTGATCAACTGGGGTTGAAAAACATTACTTTATCACATTTATATCAGTTTAAAATAAAATTAAATTCTTCCGTTTGGTGACCAAAATTCCTATTGGTGACCAAAATTTCAGTGCCCAATATTCCGTTTTTTGACTTGGTGACCAAAATTCCGCTGGTGACCAAAATTCCAAAAAAGTTGGTGACCAAAGTTCCGAAAATCCTTGGTGACCAAAATTCCGGTGACCAAAATTCCGTACACCGGATTGGGACTAATTTCATAATTTTTACTTAATCTTTAAAAATTAATAAAAAATTTGTAGCTAAAAAAATTTTTTGATCTTTCAGAAAATGAAGAAAACAATATGACAAAAATTAGATAGATTGGAGAACTGAACATTGAAATATAAATTTCCAAACTTACATGATTTAAGGGGGGCTAATTATTTATGTTACTCTTCATATTTTATTATTCTGGTCTCTACATATGTTGGGTATGAATTCAGCAATCTCTATATTTAATTTCGAAAAAACTTTAACCAACTTATTTATCGAAAATGTATTTCCAAAAATAGGCAATGGAATCGGTCCAGGCGGTAATCCTTTTCGCTTCCAAACAAAATTCCAAAATAAAAGAGTTGTAAATAAAAGGAAAAATAAAATTAAAAACATTTATTTTTTGATTAAAAAAATATTTTATTTATCTAAATTTATATATAGTAATTATTTGGGTGGGGGCTAACTCAAGGAATACATACCAACTCAAAGAACAGACAAGTATGTTCTTTGAGTTAGCCCGACAATAATTATTTAATGGGAGCGAAAATCTTAATTTATTTATAATTTATTAAAGAAATGATAAAAGTAATTTGTTAAATTGTAGTTTGTATTAAATATTTTGTGAAATTAAATTAAAAATTAAAAAGTTTTCTTATGACGCGTTGACTGTAAATAAACGAAAAATTAAAAAGAATTAAATAAAATTATTGGAAATTAAATCAAATAGGCGAATAAATTAACGATATGTAAAATTTAAAAAAAGACAAAAACTTTTTGAAATAGAAAAAACTTTAAAAAAATGAAACAAATCGAAATAAATTAAAGTATTATATTTTATTTATCCACAAATTTAAATTGGCCAAAAAGCAAGAAGGCTTCTATCGTAGCAGCACAGCTTACAAGGGAACATCACTTAATTATTTTCACTTAATTACTACAATAATGAAGAAAAATGTAATATTTTAGAAAAAGAATTTCAAAAAAAACTTCAAATATAATATTAATCTATCAATCTTAATAAACCCATTATGTTAATATTTCCAATTTTTACTATAATCCGAAATGTTGATATTAGGACAGATCCCAGATAAATATTAATAAAAGAATTTGAGCGGTATATGTAGCTGTTTATTTTTCTTTTTATAAGAAGAACATGACATTAAGAGGAATCTAAGAGGTTAGGTAAGTTAGTTAGTTTCTTATTAGTATATTTTCTTTCTCAAAATTCCTTTCTATTTCGCAAAATTATTCGACAATTGTAATGATGAAGCTTTACGGAAAATCCTTTGATCTTTTCACTAGAAGGTGGATGTAGAGGATCAACTGGTAAAACTTGAAAATGGCGAAAGAAATTTGCAGTAAAAAGAAATAATTCTGTTTTGGCTAATGATTCTCCCATACAAATTCTGTTAAAAATAATTTATATTTTTAAAAAAATAATTAATTAATTAAAGTACCTCTTCCCTAAACTAAAAGGAATAAATTCTTCAATACGTTTTAATTGGCCTTGATCATCCAAAAATCTTTCTGGTTCGAAACGATGCGGATTGGGGAAGATCTGAAAATTGAAAATAAAAATGTGATTTTATTTTTGAGAGCCTAAAATTATATGTATATCAGTCCCATTAAAATTTATTTGTCCGTAATAATTAAAATTATTTGCATCTATTGTTAATTTACTACAATAATATACATATTAAAGAGGTTATTAGTTTATTCACTGGGCAGGAATAAACCTAATATTCGGAACTACTCGGTATGCTAGATTACTTTAGAGCAGAGGTCGCTCACAGATGACAAAGACGTTGGAAAACGGAACTGTCGAAAATCGAAATTCCGAACGATTATGCCTAAGTGCTTAAGTGGTGGATATGCATTGTTTTTATTATCCTAACGATTATCTTAAATATTCTTTAAATTATTTTTAATATTTATTATAAAATACTCATTTACTTTTTCATCAAATAACACACAACAAATTTGTGGAATAATTGATGTGCCCTTTTTAATATGAAATTTCCCTCCTAAAATTTGAGCATCAGCCATAGTTCGGTGTGTAAGATTTAATGGAAGTAAATTACAAACACGTTGTGTTTCCTAAAAATTATTTTATTTTGATTAAAATTCTCAATCCCCTACATTAATAACAGCATTTAAAAAAGGTAATTTTCCTCTATCAGCTTGTGTAACAGAATTATCAAATCCATTACGGCCCTTTTCTTCCTCCAAACGATCTAATTCTTCATGCATTTTTGATTGAACTCTTTGGTCAAGAATTAAATATAAAATTAAATAACTCAATGTAGTTGATGTTGTTTCTTGACCAGCCAAAAATAAATCAAAACAAAAGGGTGTTATAGTCTTCAAACTTTGAAATTAAAAATAATTATAGACATTGAGTAACAATTAAGTATTATTGAAAATCATGACGTTGATGTCCCGGTACCAAACAATTGAACATAGTATCGTTCCAGCTACTGCCGGCTCAAAAGCTTTTCTATTTCACGACTGGGTTTCCTCTTTCAACGTTGCAGGCAAAAATTTTGCGATTATGGAAGGCTAATAAGCTAAATATCTTTCTCTTTTAGCGCCGCAGGAGAAAATTTTGAGAATTTGAGAAGGCCAAAGGGTTAGATTTCTTCCATTTTTCCTCATTCTAGGATCCGAACCGAAAATTTCGGATCCGTCAACCTTACTCCTGAGAGTATATTTCTCAAGCCTTCTCCAAGAGGGAGTATTATTTAAGGGGAGTACTAGTTCTGGAGGTGGGGGACTATTTTGGGAACTACGGGAAATTTTATTAATTAAAAACTACCTAAAATATTCACTCTTCTCTACTTCTATCTGATCAAGAAAACAGTCAAGTAAATCATTGGGTTCTCCTCTCTCTTCAGGTGTTTGTTTCTCCCGTTCAGAAATTCTTTTATTTATTGGTCTTTTAATGAATTCATAGACATTTGACAGATTATTGTCCAATTTATTAAATGCTTGCGAAAATATAGGGAAATAACGAATCCAAGGCATTACCATTAACATACGGCCGGTTATTGATGAAAGCAAAAAAGCTTGTTCTTCCATACGTTTCTTTAATTCGTAGAAGTCAGACATATGCTCCTTTAAATTAATATTAAATTAACAATTCTCACTGATAATAATTTTTTTGAACTGGGATGGATACAACTGAATCTTCGTAGATGATCCACAATTCTTGGGGTTTATGGTATTCCTTGTCCAAATATAACATTATAGCCACCATTTTCGATACGACCTAATTTCTCCGAGATTTAATGACCTAATTTCTCTGAGATTTCGAATATTTAGCACTATTTGCATGTTTTTACAAAATTTTGCGTAATCCTAAATTGTTCCCATACTTAATTTTGAAACAGAAAAGATACTAAAAATTACATCTTCGAATGGATATCCAAATATAACTCGATTTACTGTGGTCCCAGCTAAACGATCTATTTTACTTTGAAGATTGACATTATATCCACCATTTTTAGATATTTCCTCTTTAATTTGTTCAATAAATCTTTCCATATCTTCAAGTAAATGTTTTTCAAGTCCAGCCCTTCCAACACCCAAATTACGCATTGACTGTAAACCGAATCGACGCACAACCTTCCATGGATCACCTTCTGTACGTAAAACACCGCCATAATCATCCTTTACGGCTGAAAAATTTTGTATTAGAAAAATTTTAGTAGATAACCTCAACCCTAACCTCAACCCAATTACAAAGGCATAATTTATTTTTTCTTTGGACTGTATTTTGGTAAGGACTGTATATTGGTCTGACTATTTGGAAGACTATGTTTTGCCCCTCACCCACTTTGCGGTCCTTTTAGAATGGCATAAGACCTGTAACAACATCCAGATTTTACCATTATAATCACTGCCTTGTTTTATAAGTGGATTTATTTACGGGCACAAAAAGTACGTAAGACATGCCCCCAAAAATACGTTCCTCTTTTTTGCCTATAGGTCAATGAATATACCTGAAAACTTTTTAAAAAGATCGTCCATGAAGTTCCGACCAGCAAAGACTTCGCCTTCTTTGATAAAAAGGTCACGCATAATTTCATAGTCAGTAACAATAACTGTTGGATCTTCTCCAATCCAAATGGTATAAACTGGGCCATATTCTTTTGCCCAAATTTGGAATTTCTCATAAATTGATCTTAATGTTAATTTTAAAATAACTTTTTTGGTAGATTTAAGAAAATAAGAGTGATTCGAAGGAGATCAACAAGCTGAGTTGAACGACATTAAAATTAGCCCTGGTCTCAATTATGGGCCGAGATATATGTTGTCAAACTTTGAAAGACCATAGAGACATAACCCAACATCATTTGTGGGGTATAAAATTTGATTATAAATGTGAAAGCTCATTAGGAAAGACTCGTCGAGCTGAGATAATGTCAAAAAAATCAGCTTGGTTCGATGATTTTGAACATAATTGCGAAAAACTGATAATTACAAACAACTTTAACCAACTTATTTATCGAAAATGTATTTCCAAAAATAGGCAATGGAATCGGTCCAGGCGGTAATCCTTTTCGCTTCCAAACAAAATTCCAAAATAAAAGAGTTGTAAAGAAAAGGAAAAATAAAAGTAAAAACATTTATTTTTTGATTAAAAAAATATTTTATTTATTTACTATTTTAAATACTTTAAGGGAACGGAAAATTTAATTATTTTATATACACAAGATATTAACTAAATTAAATGATAAAAGTATGATTTTGTTATCTTTTTTGACAAAAATATGTATAGTTTGTGTTAAATACTTTGTGAAATTAAAGATTTAATAATGAAAACCCATCAAATTTTATTTATTAATTTTTCCTTTTTTAATTTTAAACGAACGAAAATGGAAAAGAATTAAAATAATTAAAAAATTAAATCAGACAGACACAAAGAAGTTACAATTTGAAATAAAAAAGACGAAAGTATTCTGAAAGGGACAAATTCCCAATGTCCAACTTTCCGGGATTCATAAAAATAACCCGGCATTGGTTCTGTTATTGGCACATCTTGGTTTGTGCTCATACCACAATTCTTAACAACAAAGACATATGTCTGGGATCGCGTCAACTCAATTCCCGAATGCGATCACTTATATGTACATACATATGTACCAGGGGTGGCGCAAAATACAAGACACGAGATTCACGAGATACGAGATCTCTCAAAAAAATACGAGATTTCACGAGATACGAAACTAACGCCACCCCTGATGAGTATGCTTTAGAAGATTAATATATAGTCAGGAAATTTGGTGGATATCAGTGGATTAGGGGATATCGGCTATTCGGAGGTTATAGTTTATGAAGTATTAAGGGGGATGTAGGGTGATCTGGTGTGATAACAGTCTAGCACAGTTATCTGTACGACCTCTAAAAACACGGTATTTCACGAGATTCGTGAAGAGCGCCACCCCTGATATGTACTATCTGATAAGGTAATGTAAACATTTTATCTTGATTAATTAAATATACATACAATAATTGTTAAATTTTTGTGATTATCTAAATCAGGGGTCGGATCGGAAAAATATTAAGTTCAAGTGCAAAAACCTTAATTTTAAATACATAGGGTATTTAATCAAATACCCTATGTATTTAATAGGGTATTTGATCAAAATTAAGATATGTACATTTCTGAATGAATTTTAGCAAATTATCACAAAATAAATCAATTTTTACCATGCCTTCTTTGGCATGAAAGTTGTACTTTTATTTAGATTAACTGATAAATCAAGATTTCCTATGCTTTGACCAACTTTATTGGTTACTACTGTACCCTGAACAGTTCTTGTCTTATTTATTCCTATTGTTGCTATACCTCTTCGAAAGAAAGAATTAAAAGCAATTTTATAGTCTTTACTAAAAAATAAATTTTTTTAAATATTTTATTCTACTTTCACCTAAATTTGTATAATACAGGAGCATTACAAGCCATAACAAAATTTGTTATCCATCCAAGTATTGAAGAAAAATAAAATGTTTGCAAAGGATTAAGTGAAAGTAGAGGCATGATAAAACGACTGCCTGCATTTAACATCCATCCTGCAACAACCATTGTTGTAATAACCATTAAAGATTTAAAAATTCGTTGGGTATAATCTGCCCCTTCTAAAAATCAAAATATTTGAATCGTTAAAAATTATTTTTTACTTTTATTAGCCAAAGCATTATCTGAACGATATTTTAATAAAATCCAAATTAAAATATAATTTAAAGTAGAAAATCCAATAATAATTAAAGAATTACGGAAAGACTTTAAAAAATTAATTTAAATTAAAATTCAAAATTTAAATCAAAAACCAATTGTCCAACATCTTTTTGATAACAATCAGAAATTGAACAAATAACTTGACTAAAAAATAAAAATAACTGAATATTTTTGATTAATTTAACGTTTTAGGTATTGAAATACATATTTGCCAACATTGCCAAAGAATAAAAAATGCATAAATTGTTGGAATCCCTATAGAACAATAAACGCTTGAACGAGAAGATTTCTTCATACCAAAACTAAATATTAATTTTATATTTTAAAAAAAAAGGATAAAATCTATAAAGATAAAATTTTGCAATAATAACTCTTGTATGTTTATCTAAGTTCTCAAATATTTTCAGAATTTTTGATCATGAATTTTCTGAAAAATGCCTAATTTTTCGAGGTAATATCCCTTAAAGTCACTTTAAATTCACGTAATATTCTGATCTTCAACTCCGTCTTAATAACTCAAAATATACCAACATCCCTCTCTTAAGGAATTAATCCCGCATGATCCCGTCCCGTACAAAATGTCGAAAAAATCCTGCTACGGGATACAGGGAATGCGATTTTACCGTACTCTATAAATAATGTTAGCTCTATAAAATTTTAATAAGAAATCATATTTGCTTGTCAGACTTTGAGCAGGCCAAAAAATTAAAAATTTCTTATCATAAATTCAAAATTTTTATTGTTTTGGAGTTATGTAGTATCCTCAAATGTCGGTTCCTCAAAATTTGGATCCTCTAAGGTAGAATTTTGATTTCATGTCTTACAATGAAGTTGACTCAAAAATTTAGACGCGCTCAGTTCGTTGAATTATTATAAACTAACGTTATTGGAAATAAAACAGAAAGAAGACGATCAAATCCAATAAAAAAAGTTAAGCATAAACTCATAGTATTTGATAAAATACAATAAATTAATAAATAAAAACAAATATCCAAATTAATAAAATTAATTCCAGTCAAGACTACATACATTGAAATTGTATTACTTGTTTGATATATAGCTGTAAATAGGGCATCTATTGCTATTAAATAATTACAACTACTGTTTAGCGATCTGAATAAAGAATGAAATATAGTAATTATTTCCAAGTAGCTTATAACAATACTTGTCTTTAATGGTTATCCAAAATAACAAAAAATTAAATATACAACCAACAATAGAAATTAACCAACGAATTCCTACAAATACTATCAAAATATAAGAAATACCAGAACTAGCAAAAATATCATAAAGAGTTGCTGGCTTATTTAAATCCAAAATTGGAGGAGTACTCGAATTTAGATTCATTTAAACTTTAACTGAATTTATCTAAATATTTAAATTAAAGGTATATTTGAAGAATATTCAAAATAATCAAAATTTTTATTACAGTCCAACACATGCAAATGCATCAGCTTAATGAGGAAATAAAATTTCCAAGTAGAGTACGTAAGTTCCAAGTAGAATCTATGTTATTTTCGTTAATCCGCGATATCATTTTTGATCCGCCGAAATTCCATGATATCGGTCAAGATCCATGTGGCTCCGGGTGAAAATAAATGGATAATATTATTTCAGGGATTTGTGTAGATTAAGGGGATATCGAGTGTTAATCGAGGTATGAGATGGATATCAAGGGATCCCCTCTTTTTGCGCCGCAGGTAATGCCGAGTATTAAGATCCCGAGTTTCCAGTACATCGTAATATCGCTAATACGACACCTTTCGTAGGAAACTTGGTGTCGTGAAAGAAACGTAGTCTGATCGGTAGCCAAGCTAGATCTAAAATAGAAGATAGGTAATCAAAATTAAAGAAGACTAAAATCGGGAAAAATTAAGAAAATTTTTTGACATAAATTACACAATACATATAACAAAAATATTTTGTTCACTTTACGATTACTTAAAGCAGGTAAAAATTAAGTAGCTAAAACCTTTATAGCCAACGTACTTGTAAAATAAGTATCTTAATAAAGTTTAGAGACAGATTACAACATTATTTCAACTCATTATTTCCTACAATCTAGGTGATTAGCAATTTTTATACTTTATAAAAATGAAAAAAATATTTTGTATAAATTAATTGTTAAAAGTAGGCATTATTTAAAAAGTACTTACATAATTATAAATAAAAAGTTAAAATATTGCGTAGGCAATCTCGTCAAGTATTATAAATATTTTATTTTAATTAGGTACATATAATCACCTAAATATCTAATATGCGTATTATTAAATGTATTTTACAGGGTGACAAGAAAACTTTAGGACAAACTATTTATGACATTTTCCCTACTTCAGAAAATGATTCTGGGCCGAGTTATTGGTCCCGAAAAATTGTAAAACCATAGGGGGAGTAAGCTCGCTTAAATTCTATATGCAAATAATAGCTCTTCGGATGAGCTCGTCGAGCTGAGTCGAATAACACCAAAATTAGCTGATTGAACAAGTTTTAGATGAGATATAGGGCTTGAAATGGTCAAATTTCATAGTGGGGATTTTAGGGTCAAAAATCTGACTTGATTTGACAAAGTTATGCTTCTTTGTTTTAGCTTCTTACCTATGGCCTCCGTGAAGGTTTTTGGTGCTTCGGAGGCCCCAGGTACGTCCAGAGCAAGGGAGATAGGAATAGGTTTATGTTACTGACCCAGAACTCAGCGACCGTAGGCTCCCCGCGAGGCGTTTTCTGTCCAAACTTTTACAATCACGATGACTCTGGTTTCATTCGACTAAGCTCAACAAGATTATATTTTTGACTAGGACTCGATGACATTTAGTGATACTTTAGTTTTTAATTGACTAAAGTACTAATAAGTAAGGCTCGGATTTTTATTAAAATAAAATCGCAAAATATTGCCATAAAATATTTAAATAACATGGCAAAATATTGACAAAAAATGCCAGAAAATTAGTGAAATATTGAAATAAATTAATGTTTATTCACTAGCAAAACACGAAAAAAGTTGAAATTTAACAAAATAATTAATTACGTTTTTAGAATTGCACATTGTTTTATAGTTCGACGAATTGAGTATTTTTACTCTCTTGGACATTTTGAGATTGACAAAATGAAGATGGGACCTTTTTATTGGTAATGTCCCATTTTGGGGGGTTTGTCCATTAGCCTACTAATAAGTGATTAAAAAGTTTTCTGCGTTTTGCGTTGATTTTTGGCTTTTCTGATGGGAACTGATGTGAAATTCCAATTACCTAGTCCTAATTGGGCATGAAAATTAATGGTGTTTTCACTGAGGCGAATTGGGCGCAGCCAAATTATATATTTTTAATATGCATCGCATTCAATATTTTTTAGTGACAATTTAGTTTATTCCCGATTAATTCTAAAATATTTTTATTTTTTCATATAATCCATCCAAATGTCATTCAAAGGGATTATCGGTGGTACTTATAAACTTTTGGATAATTATGAGATTCCGCTTATTGGGCTTGGAACTTATGCATTATGGAATCAAGAAGAGGTAGATCGAGCTGTTGATGCAGCTCTAGCAGCTGGATATCGTTTATTTGATACTGCTAATTTTTACAATAATGAAAAAGAATTGGGAATTGCTTTTAAGGTTTTTGAATGTTTAATGATAGATAATAAGAAATTTATAACAAAAAATTTGGCGCTGGTATAGTTTATGCGTCCACTTTTATGCGTCCATTAAACAAAAAGGATTTTTCTTTGGTGTTGCAAAGTTGGGGTATGGTTCCAAAACATTTCTTCATGTTCCGGACCTACGCCCACTGGGTCTAGGACCATTCCTTACACTATCCCTCAGAATTCCTGAAAGTTATAGCCAATTTTTATAAATTTCAGAAAAAGATTTTAACTTTCAGAAATTTCGAGGAATAAATGTGCGGAATCGTCCCAGACCCAGTGGGCGTACTTCTTGAACATGAAGAAATGTTTTGGAACCATACCCTAATTTTGCAACACCAAGAAAAATTCATTTGTTTTTTGATTAGACTCATACTTTCATAGGACGCATAAAAGTCGATTAGACGCATAAACTAAACTAGCGTCAAAAATTTCTAAAAGTTTCTTCCCAATCTAGAAATTTCTACCCAAATATAATCTCAAACGGGAAAATATTTTCATTATCACAAAAGCAAATATCCGGTCCCCAAATGTTGAAGAGAATGCTCGAAAAATGGTCCAGAATTCTTTGGATTGTTTAAAATGTGGGTATGTTTATCAGGAAAATTGAAAGAAAAAGTTTAAATTTTAAAGTTACATTGATCTTCAATTAATTCATTATCCGAAAGATTGGGGAACTTCTGACAAAAATCCAGAAAATTCAGATCATCGGATGAGAATTTATCGAGTTTTTGAAGAATATAAAGGTGAAGCTTTATTGGCAAATTTATTTAAAAAAATTTTGCGAGGAGGAGAGGATTTTAGAAAATTATTTTGTTAAAATATATTAGATAAAAAATTTGCTAAATTAATTTCTAGAAATGCAAAAAATAATTTTAACAAAATCTCAAAAAACAGTCAAGCTTTGGGTGAGGTGAAAACGAGGACTTCCAAAACACGAAACAGACAAAATACGGTTTAGAGAAATACTAATCAGAATATTTTTTAAAATCAGAATTTTTCAAGTATTTTTTTAAATTCCGGTTAAAAAAATTCTGATTTAAAAATATTCTGATTTATAAGATATTCTGTGTATTATTTATCAATTCTTTATTATTTTAACTAAATTAACGTGATTTTTATTCAAACTTCGCATAAATTTAATCTAAAATTTAACAAATAAAATACAAATATTCCTCCACATTTTATTAGACACTGGTTATATCCGCTCTATTGGTGTTTCAAACTTTGAAGGACGTCATATCGATGAACTTTGGGATAATGTTAAATACCGACCTGTCCTAAATCAATGTGAATTCCATCCACATTTAACTAGGCCTGAACTTGTTGAATATTGTAAAAATAAAGGAATTTTCTTTCAAGTTTTGAAAATTCTGTTTATTAATTTTAAAATCTATTAAGGCTCACACTCCATTTGCTTCTCGATCAAAATCACTCTTTACAGATCCTGTTATTGTTAATATTGCAAAAAGACTCGACGCTGATATTTCGGTTTTTCTAAAAAAATATTTTTTTGAAATTGGGGTAGAATATTTTAAATTAACCAAAGAAAAAGAATTTTGGGCAATCCATGAGGGCACTACTTAAGATGAGGGTGCCCGGTGCCTTTTTTGGGTAAATATGTAATAAATGGTCAGTCTATCAAGGTGTATTTATAAAGCTCGTCGAGCTGAGTCGAATGACATCAAAATCAAAAAAATCTGACTTGATTTGACCGAGATACAAACCCCTGAAAATTGAAAAATCATAGTGGCGAAAAACCATAACGACGAACATTTAAACAAATGATAGACCATTTGAAAGAGCTCATTGAGCTCAGTCGAATGTCACTAAAATCAACGTGATTAGAGAAGATTTGACAAAGTTATGACATTAACCTGACCTATCGGAGTCGGCGACTTAAAATCAAAATTTCGTCAAATTTTGTCCATTCACATTGATTTTGGTGTCATTCGACTCAGCTCGACGAGCTAAATACACTTTGATAGACTGACCATTTTTTACATATTTACCGAAAAAGGCACCGGGCGCCCTATTCTTTACAAGTGCCGAATTCGTATTTTAAATTATCCATTTTTGGATTTTTTTAGAATTTTGACTCCACCTCCCAAAAATTAAAAACAATTTATTAATTAAAAAAATAAAAAAATTTAATATTTCAGCAAGTTATCCTCTCTTTTGCTTATCAACAAAAAATTGGAATTATTCCAAAATCTGGGAATGTTTCAAGAATTAAATCAAATATTTCTTTTTTGGAGATTGCTTCAAAATTAACTGAAGAAGATATTGTTTTGTTGAAAAAATTAAATAAAAATCATCGTTACTCTGATTGTGATGGATGGAATGTTAGGTGAAATTTCAAAAAGAAAGAAAATAAATATTTGAAAAAATATTCTTTTTAAATTATTTTTATTGAATTATTGATAAAATTTATCAAAAATTATATTCAACTTAAAAAATTATATTCAACTTAAAGCTCTTACCGTTTAAGAGGGCTGCCTTTTACTGACCATTATGAGACCTTTACTCACAATTGCCCCAATATTTGGTGCTTGTGCGTTATCCCTACAAATTTTTGCGGACAGAATTGTTCGGAATGGTCAGAGTTTCTTCCTCTCTCTCCTTTGCACTTGTCAACCAACCAAACAAGATTACTAAATGTAGTATATAAAATTTTTAATTTAAGTTAATTATGCAAACCGAACATTCAGTTTTTTTACTTTCGAATTTTTTTAGTTAGTGATCTTTTACATATAAAAATTTGGGATTTTATGCAACTGAAAAGGATGCCATTGAATTTTTGGGTACACCCCAACTTACCGCGAGCCCAACTTACCGCAGAGCTATAACTTCGTTCAAAATGGTCGAATCCGGGACGCCCTGATATGGTTCGATTCAGCTCGTCGTGGCGCATCGAACCATACCAAAGCGTTCCGGATTCGACCATTCTGAACGAAGTTAAAGCTCTGTGGTAAGTTGGGCTTGCGGTAAGTTGGCCGGCTCCCGAATTTTTACAGAATCGTTATTTTTTAAATTTTAAAAAATATCCAACGTTCTATGTATTACGTTGTTGTTTGAACACCAAACAAATTTACTAAAAATTTTGTAAAATTAAAAAAATTTTTTTTTGTTTTTCTTAGTAACCTAAATATGTAATTTATTTGTTCCTTTTATATTTAAAATAATTAATTTCAAAAAACAAAAACATATTATTTCTATTTTTAAATTCTCTTTTGAATTTAATAAAAACAATGAATTTACATAGATTATTGTTTATTATTAAAATATTTTTATATCTTATGTAATTAATTATCTTTGTTTTATTTCTTTTCAAATTATTTTTGAAAATAAAGAAAATTTTTTAATAAAAACCAAAAATCTAATATTAATTTAAAATTATTTAAAAAAATTCAATTAGGTATATTTTATTTGAACGTGAAATATGTGACGATAAATTACATATTTCATTTTTTAAAATTATTTAATACAGAATCTAATTTATAAAATAAATTTCAAAAATAAGTTTACTATATTTTATTATAACACTTCCTCAAAAATTCTATTTGTGTTGAGCAGCAAAATGTATTCATTTAATTATTTTTAATTAAATTTTTAAATTTATATTTATTTTATCCGGCTGCCCACATTTGTTTATTTTCTATTAGATCCACGGATTCGGAGCATCATATCTGTATCCATCCGTATCCGTCCAATTAAAAAAACATTATTCATATCCGTCCGAATCCGCGAATATCCGGATATTATCCGTATCCATGCCCTTGCCTGTTTTTTAATAAATAAATAATTCTTCTTCTTTGGACTTGGGCCACCTACTAATTTTAAAAACAAATCTTTTTTCAAATTTCTCAAAAAATCAAAACACTAATAATTTTTAAGTTTAATTTTAGAGAACAAATATTTCAGTAAAATGTCTTCTAATCAAAGTATAAGTTCATTAACACCTTTATCTTCAACTTTTCCATCACCTCCAAATACTTCAAATACACTTTTTGATATTTTTGCTAATTCTGGAATTTCTTTTATTTTGATAACGTTTGTAGGAATACGTTGGTTAATATCTGTTGTTGGGACTTTATTTAATTTATTTTTATTTTGGATAACGATTACAGAAAAGTAGTTAATTTAAAAATTAATTAAATTAATTAATAATTAATAGAATTAATTTAAATTTTCTTTAAAAATTGCCCATTATTTATGGCAAATGCCCATGTTTTTAAAAATTATGAGGCATTACTGAGATATTCCTTGCTATGATTGTGAGTCTTGCGTCAACGTTAGTTGATTCATTAATGATTCTTTAGTTTCGGTTCTTCATTTCCGCTAAATCAGAACTTATCTAACCATCTTAAAAATTTTCTTATACTTCATGAAAATTCTTGAAATTTAAAATGTTAAAATGTTTTTTGCGTTCATCTTAAAAATTAATCTTATAATTTGATAAAAGGATAGTTAGAAGAATTAAAAGCAACAGCTTGCAAATCTAAGGCCTATTTTGATCCAGCTAGGCAAGGATGTAAGAAATAGAGGAAAATGATCAGTTAACGCCTTAGGAACCTTAGGGCACAGGCATTGGTATAATACTGGAGAGTAGTCAGTTTGTATTTAACAGCTACATAGAAGTGGAAGTTGGCTGAATGTTGCTGAGATTTTATTTATTATCTCCTCTCGAGAGCTTATCTATTCCATAAAAGTCGGTCTCGATATCAAACAGAATAGATAATATAGTTCGTCATAAAACGGACTTTCCTCTATTCTGCATTTCCCCAAACACCACATGTTCAGCATCAATTCCATACTACCCTAGCACACAATTTTTACGCAAATAATAATTATCAAAAATTTTAAGGCATAATTAAACAGAATATAATTTTCATTTCATTCTATATTCAGGTCGCTAAACAGTAGTTGTAATTATTTAATAGGAATAGATGCCCTATTTACAGCTATATATCAAACAAGTAATTCAATTTCAATGTATATCGTTTTGACTGGAATTAATTTTATTAATTTGGATATTTGTTTTTATTTAATGATTTATTCCATTTTATCAATAACTATGAGTTTATGCTTAACGTTTTTTATTGGATTCGATCGTCTTCTTTCTGTTTTATTTCCATTAGGATTTGGAAACAAAACTTCTCGTTTAAGCGTTTTATTTTCAATTGTAATTTCAGCAATTTATTCTTTATACGTGCTTTGGGGATGTTGGCAAATATGTTTAACAATACCGAAAACGTTAAGTTTTTTAAATAAATATGTATTTAGGTAGTTATTATTAGTTTGTTACGAGAATAAGGCTGTAGTTTCGGAGACGAACTGAAGAACCATGGATTTTTCTATTCGGAATGCCGGTTCATTCGGATATTGGCACGGTTCTTTAGATTCCGAAGAAAGAGGGAACGTAAATCTGGAAGATCGTATCAGGGTGGGGCAAAGCTGATGTCTCGTGGACTGATGTCTTATACATAGTATAAGACATCAGTCCACGATCCGAGATGCAGGTTCGTGCCAATCGCCGATTAAACTTTTGTACGAGCTGTAGGAGAGATATAAGTAGCTATAGCCAAGTTTTGCTTTACTATAATTTGATTTTTTTTCGGAATAAATAAATACTTTTTTTTTAAATATCTCATTTTAAGGCCTGTTATTTGTTCAATTGCTGATTGTTATCAAAAGGAAATTGGCCAATCTGTTAGAAAATAACATAAAATAAATATTTACTTAATTTATATTAATTTTAGACATTCCGTGATGATATAATTTTGATTGGATTTTCTGCTTTGAATTATATAATTATTTGGGTTTTAATCAAATTACGATCTAAAAATACTCGTAGTTATTTCGATAAATTAATTATAGTTAATAAAACTTTTCAGAAACGGAGGATTATACTAAACGGATTTTTAAATCTTTAGCAATCATTATGATAATGGTGCTTATTGGGTATGTTTAATAATTAAATTGAAAGGAAATGGGTGGGGATAAGTTGTCAGTTTGCCTATTATGAGAAAGGACAAAATATCTTCTTGATATCCGATTTTTTATTCATTGGAAGGTTACATGTTTGTATGTACCCCTTGGTGTCGTTATAAATGAATAATAAAATCAAGGATAACTTTAAGGAGCTATAGCTCTCTAAGCACACAAGTGAAATAAAAATTGGAAGTTGGGCTTCGATTTTGAGCCTTCGACTTTGACTTTGTATCTAAGGGAAGGATAGGTCCTTCAAACATTCTTGATTATTTTTTTAACAATTAATTCTCTATCATATAAGCTTTACTTGATCCCATTATCTTGTATTTGAATAAAGTTATGGCATAAAATTTGTGCCCTATATCTTTCTGGTAACCCTGTAAAGCAAAATCACAATTGCATAATCACTCTATTCTTTCAAAATTTAATATTTTTTAACAATTAGATGGATGTTAAATGCCACAGCACATTTTATTTTACCCATACTTTCACTAAATCCAATCCAAACATTTTATATAACATCAATACTCGGATGTATAAGTAATTTTGTTATGGCATGTAATGCACCTGCTCTTTATTTATTTAGGTAATTT